ATGGCCAGGCCCCTTACGAGTCCTCTTTTGCTTGAAATTAGTAACCAAAGCCGAAGCCTAGCAGCAGAAGTCTCCTCTCAGAACCAATAGGATGTCGATGGATCCAAAACACCACTCCATGCGCCTATAACAACCCTGGTTGGGTGGTCAACGCCAAGAAAGAGTGTTGATCTCGAGAGACAGATCATGGACTTCCACCGGCTGCAGTATACGGACCATGTTACGCGCCGCCAACTACTCAGGAAGATAAAATAAAAAAAGGTTCGCTGAGAAAGACTACCTTCTGATGGATGCGGAGTTGCAGATCCAGTCCCTGAGAGCCAAGCTGGACCTTGCATTGCCACGAAAAAGGAGGAGGGAGGAGATTGGTCCGAGTTCCAAGTTTGCTACAATTAAGGACGTCCAGACCGCCGCACAACAGCATTCTAATAATCCTCTTGATGAGGAGAGTGACACAGATGTATCTAGTGTATCATCAGCCATAAGGATTGCATTAAAGTCCAAGAATGAAGGTATGGTTCGTAATTGAAACTGCTAGTGCCGTTGGGCGTTAGTCATATTTTGGGCGGCCGGTTGTAGGGAGTGGCCGGATATGGGGTGACGGACGTTAGTCTTCTAACGTTAGATACCTGTAAGTTATCGTAGTCTCAATACCTGACACCGGTTATTACCACTTGCGATCAAGCCCTCATGGCCCTGTTAGCACGCTAATAAAGCCCCGCCTTTCCGAATTAGATCTGCATTACAGGGCGTTGACAGCCAGGTTATGGGAGCCCTGTCGCTGTTCAGCCGCCGTAATTGGGCACTCCGGGGTGTTGACTGCATGGGTACGCCGATCCCCTAGGGTAAAGTCGGGGTTGGCCCTGTCTGTTCATAGTATCTTGGCGAAGAGTAAGGCATCTATCATCAGCAATGAACAACTATGGCCACCGCGAGAAACCCGTACTTTTGAAGACAAGGCAATTGTACAAGAAAGAGGGCTCTTAATCAATCCATCGAGCCTAAGGGTTCGTGAATGGCACGCCTATCATGTTGCCACGTGCATCAGCGCACAGCTCAGCATTGGGTCCTTATCCCACTATAACCTTAGTCTCGATGGATTCGATGGATTGATTGTAGAACGTGGATGGTCGATTTATTTGAGTACATTGCCTGCGTATAGAACTTTGGCTTTAGAAGACTGATTATTTTGACTTGGAAATACAATGGTTGTGTCGGCCCTGCGGAGATCACGCGTGGATCCGATATCCCAAAATCGGTGTCCGAAAGCCCGACACTAAGAAGACACTACAGACTGCAGATGTGCAACGGGTATGAGCGGAATGATGCTTGAATCAACAACGCGGAGGTTTCGAACCTGCAGGTTGACGCCGCCAATCCCAACCGTACTTGCGAGGCGGCGATCCTACTTATGTTAGCTTTGACTGGATTTCAGGCGATACAGTATAGCCCCACGACATCGGCCTCTTTCGGAGGTGCCACAACCTTGACCGAAATATGAACTCTTTGCCTTTCAGCGGCACTGATGATGAAGCGTTGACCTTAGCCCCGTAATTCTCCTGAGCTCGCACCCGGTCGTTACATGGACCTTTGTACGTTTGAGATAATACTCAGTTCATACACAATCATATCAGAGTACATCATCGTTTAGGTTCAAACGAATACTGCCAATACCAGTTGAGAGCACCTGTCGGAGCATAAGCTCCGCTGTGCGACTTGCACACGAGATTGGTTTCAGTGACTGACCACTTGGGACTACAAGAGGGCGAGGTGGTTTGTTGCACAAGCGGAAATGCTCTTGGCCACACAAGTTACTTTAACTCTCCAATCACAAGAATTGCTGACTTCGGAAGTCCCCAGGGCGCCCTCGGATAGGTTGAGATTTCATCTCGTCCGGAGCTTTTCTCTATTGCTGGGCCATTATTGCTTATTCTTCAGGTTGCTTACAACCGGCCCAGGGGATAATTCTTCCAAGTCTAGGCCCATCCATAGTGGGCCCCACCCCGCTTTTCAGGTATTAGTGAGGGCTTATGGGAAGGACACAAAGGTGAAGTTGGGCGCTGTCCGCTAAATACCAACGTTTTGTCAGGCCCGGAACATGAAAGAGCAGTGACGACATGCCTGATGTAGACTCACCAATTTAGCGAGTTTTGCAAATACTATTTAACCTCTAATCATGCATAAGTAGATGAGACTTGGCGGGAGCAATAACTACTGTGGCAAGGCCGCATGCAGGCGCCAGAGAGACGTACCATGTCCAGCACACCATAGGCCCTTCATCGATCTAAATTGGGCATCGGTCGCCGGATCACAAAATTAAGAAAGTCACACACGTAAGATATCCGGGATTAAGGGGTCATACTACTCTCTTCTCTCAATAATCTCTTCTATGATTTGTTCATCCATAACCATGAGTGGCCGTCTTTACCCCTAGAACAGGCACTAGCTTTATGAACATTCTTCACTTTTTGCACGGCGGCCCACAATGGCCCATGACCACGTTGGCAAATGCAACTCCTTTAAGGAGCGAGTCGAGATTATCACTGAGATACAAGATAAGAGCAAGGACTCTGCTGAAGTCGTGGTGGTAGAGCTACATTCTTCAAACCCCATAGTGGATGAGCTTCGTACCCTAGGAGAGCGTCTTCGTGCTACCGCTCACGAGCAACAACAGCAAATCAAGATATTTCTGGAATGGACAAAGACGGTACATTTATAAGTGAATTCACACGTCCTGAAAACTCTTTCTAACAAGATCAAGAACAACCAATCCCAGGGGAGCCGTCTTAGTAAAGAATATTCATCAACCTTTGTCAAGTCCCAAAAGAAAAGACGTGATGGACTACCAACTAGTGATTAGGTGAGGGGGCTCCCCGCTTGCCAGAACTCGGGTGTCCTCTCTCGGAAACGTATATGAGTGTCAAAACGGAATGGTTTCAGCTGTCATATCGCGAATCTTCACGCGAGATGAGTCCCGGTAACTGGGAGACTCCCTGAAGGCTTTCCGGCATCTCTCACACTGATGTTTGACTTCATCGCACTTCAACTTTGATCAGTATCGTCGTCAGCCACTGCACTCTATGGACACACATATCTTAATTCTTCGCTTCAAGCAAGGGATGCACTCTTTAGAAGGACCGAGATACACCATCTCTATATGACTTCTCGCGTGCTATACATGTGGAGAATGTGAGGAATGCACGGCAGCTTCTTGTTCTGGCGTATATAGAAGACGTCGGGGTCTTCTAGCGCAGTCCGTGTCAAAACGTATGAATATAGGAGCATCTGGCGCAGCCTGGGTTCAAGTCTTCTCGCCTTGGAATCGCGAGCAATTCATTAGTAGCATCATTCGAGTACGAGCGCAGTGAAATTGCGTGGCATTGCATCCTGAATTCGAAAGATGGTTATTTTGCTTGGCATGCCCTATCACTACGCTACTCGTAGATCCGCCGAAATTAAGGTTTCCCCCGGATCTTTACTGGTCAATCCAGATTATTGGATGGCACGAGGATGATGCCCTGAAGCCTACACTGTCATCATTGGTCAGTTCGACAATACCACAGTATACCTGAATACAGAGACGAAAAAACAAACAAATCAAAGATGCCGTACACGAGGCTTTCTTTCGCATGGATGGCAAATGACCGCGGGCAATTGCACTTAAGGAATATAAACTTTATTGGCAATGGTCCATCGAGTGTCAATTCGCAATCTGCCGATGAACACCCCCGACTCAACGATCCGCAATTGATGGTCGCACCCCCTGTAATGACAAATGAGGTGGGTCGGGTGATTTCTTATCCTTTTTGGAAGAGCCCTGCGAGGCGGCAAGGGGTGGGGGTGAGTGGGGATGGATCTGAATCGGCAACATAACATCTCTTAGCCTCTCAGCTCCACACTAGGTTTTACGTGCTGTACATAATCCGGAACACCTTGGGTGTGGTAGCCCGGATGATACCTTCGCCCAGGCCAAGAGCGCCTGTTTCACGTTTCTCTGAAGAAACCTTTGATCAGAATGTTCCACTTGCGGGCAAACCGAAGATTGACCTCTAATCACTTCTTGCAGCTAAACTTCACCTCCGAGCTTGCATAGTTTCTGCATCCCACTGCAGTACCTCATCGGATGCAGTCTGGAAGAGACCAGGGGATCGCAGATATGCCCACAAACGTATCTGAAGGCCGGGACAGCTATGACCATGACAGCACAAAATGGGTGTCATCTTTCTGTGGCAGCTCCTCGTCAAGCCTTAGCAGCCAGGGAAGCAGCGGATGGGATACCTGTTCCAACGTCGGAACTTCTCCATCACCATCATCGTCGTCGTGCTCATCACACATCCCACGAATGATTGGCCATCATCATGAGTACAAGGAGACTGTTGTGTTGGCGACAAATCAGGGTCTTGTCACTGTCAAGCACGGAAACGAGAATCTCAGACAAACCTGTCAGATTGTGGAGACAGCTAGAGTGACCGATTTCGTGGTCCTGCAAGTAACGTGGATCAAGTGTGGAGACATTGCACCAATACCGTACATAGCTGGTTCTGCTTCCGTACAATCATGATATCAGAATGAAAGTAATCCAAAAATGAGCGAATGGACGTCCATTGATCAAACACAACCATAAACGTCCGATCTGATGCTGGTTCTGGTTCAGACCCCACCAGGACGCTTTTGAACGTCGGTGCAGTACTGCTTCAAGCTCTATTTGCGCATTTGCATACCACTATTGAGGCGTATGGATTTGTCGCGCTGTTTCTCCTCAATCAGGTATAGTGTTCACCACTATTCGGTCGCGTCAAAGTGGGCGGGCGTCCCGTAACCGTTATTTCCCCCACAACAAGCCGACCGATGCGCCTCTTCTGTACTCTATGTCAAAAAAAGGGACGGCCCGAAAGAGGCCACCGACGAAAAGCACGACTCAAAACCAGGCCTGTCCAGCCACCCCACAAGCGACATTTCCCAAATTCGACCTCTCTGTCGGGGTCTCTCAGACATCGACGATGGGGCTCTCCGACCTGGCCTCTGTCGTCGCCCGTCCACCCTACCGCGGAGAGCCGACCCAAGGCCAGTATGCAGGCTCGCCGGCCGCTGATTGACCGACCACCAGGCCAGCATACATGTTTCGTCCTCCGGCGCCTACGGTCTCTTTCGTGACCACAGCCTGCCAGCCCACTTCTCCTTTGCCGGTCTCACCAACGACGTCCTGCGTCCTTTGCTGCAAGATAAAGCCAACACAACAAGTTCTTCCCACTCGAGCAGTGCCTTTCCTCCGCCTTCCGAAGCGAAAGGCGTCCGAATTTGACGAAGCCGAAGACTCTGAAAGCGGACACCCGGATCCCCCCAATATCCTCAGGGCTATCGCCAAGAGGTTCGTCGTCTCGAGATCTACACCCGATGCCTTTCATGAGCGATTTGACACAGGCCTGACGTGTTGTATCGGGGATTCGCTCGCTAGAAAGGAATCGGCAACACGGCCGTCTGGCAAAGAGAACGCCCGGGGTTGGTCGAAACGGCGTCGTGTTGGCTCGTCGCCCGAAGATGAGCTTGGCGGCACTATCTTTTTCGAAATTCGTAAGGACAACAGCGCGTGTACGATCGACATTAACGAGGCACGCTGGCAGCAGGCATTACTCGAGTATATCGAGAATGATGATAAGGAAAACACACAGCCTGGGGACGGCGTCGTCCAGACATCCGACTATATGGCGTACAGTGGCTGGGGGCGCTGCAGGACCACCAAGAAAACATGGGCCACGACGCCGCGCAGCCCGCTTGTCGATATCACCCCTGCGGATAGACAACGAGAGCGTGATTGCGGTGCTACGGGTCGTCGATACCATCCGTCGGCGTGGCTAGCGAAGACCTCATGCCGCCGCTGCCGCCATGGGGCTCCGCTTGTGTGTGCCTGCTGGTACCGCAGGACATTGGCCGCGACGCAGCACCGCCCACTCGCCAGTAACTTCGTCGCGGATGGACAAAGAAAGCGTGATTGCGGTGCTACGGTACAGGGCCGACGAAATACCTCTCATGAAGATACCACCCGTACCGCAACTGCAGGTGTCGACGGCCAGGAAGAACCTCGTGGCGCCAACGACGCTATCATAAGTGCCCAGGCACGATTGATAGTGTCGAATGGAAGACTGGCACTAACGCTAAAGGCCAAAGGTCCGCGATCCTACAACTTAGATGTAACCTCATCAACTTACACACCACACCTAGCCATGAAGTGGAAGAGCCGCCACCACCCACGCGCCTTGGCGGAAGGTCTACGTGCTACAGCCAAGCACATATATCCCCACCGTACATTAAGCCGGCTTGCCGACTGCCTCCGACGTCTTGCCCGGTGCTTGGCCGCTAAGCCCGAGGACGACGACAGCCAGATATCTTCCATACGGCGCGCCGTAAGGCCTCAATGGAAGATTGGCCGCGAAGCCGCGCCGCCCGCTCAACGATATCTTCGTCGCGGTTCGACGACCGGAGCCTGATTGTGGCGCTGCAGCACAGAGCCGACTACGAAGTGGCTCCCTTCGACGCACAGCCGTACCGTGCCTGGGCGTCCAGCGTCAGGGCCGGGTTGGGCCCTACCTTCTCACACATCTACTAGGGCACATTTTGGTAGCCATGAATGGAACATTGGCCATGACGCTGCGCAGCCCTCTCGCCGAGATTTTCTTCGCGGACTGACGCGACGAGAAACCTCGTGGCGCCAACGACGTTGTAAATAGCGTCACGGCTGTGTAAAAGACCAACACTAGAGCTGAGGCCAAGGTGTTCGCGCCCGCAACGTCGAGGTGGCCTCACCTGCTCACATATCTACTTTCGTACTTTTTGTTCGTTCGACAGGAGACGGCTTCTGGGGGTTGGACGACATCGGTTCGGAGGGCCATTGAGGGCCAGCTTTGGATTCAACAATGGCAAGCAGTAGTCAGCATTGAGCACAATCAATGGCGGATCGGATCTGGAAACCAGTATTTCAGATTCTGCTTTCGTTCATGACAGCTGTCAAGCATGTCCAGTTTTCGACAGCATCGAGAGGGAGAAGGCATTGTTCAGACCGTTGCTTCCGAGAGATGCGACGAGAGTTGGTGTCCTAGCACGTTCGCCGGCGTCATCCGACGATGAGAGCACGAGGCGAATGCAGGAGACGCCCACACCAGTTGAGCCGAGACGGAACGAAAGGGTTCGGCAAACTCTGACCGACCGCACACGTAAGGACGGCCGCGAGAGGGTTTCGTCGCACGATGGTCGCCAGCGAAATGGTGGATACTTTTACGGAGGATTGCCTGCGCGGCTTGACGAGAACTGCCCGAATGTTGCTGCTCATCGACGAGATGGGGATAGTGTCCACTACCGCATTAGCCACGCCAGATTCAAAACTCTGCTCCGCGACCAGGTCGAGCGCACCCTCGACGACGGGATCGAGAGCCTTGACAAGGGAGGTGCTCGTGGGGTCCTCTTCAAGGTGACTCTTTTTGCATATGGGTATACCTTTATTGGCAAGGGCACCGTGCCGGCATTTATCGAGGATCTCGAACACGAAGTAAAGGTCTATCAGGCCCTCCAGCCGCTGCAGGGTAAAGCCACACCTGTCTTTTTCGGGGCAATCGACCTACGTTCGATATCACGCACTTATTACTACGACTTCCGAGTCCGAGTTCAATACATGATGTTTCTATCCTGGGGTGGTGATAGCTTGGACTCGGTGCGCACTGCGGGCGACGATGGAGATCTAAGGCGACAATTGATTCATGCCATCCGTGGCTTGCACACTTGTGGGGTCGCGCACAAGGATCTCCGGTCTCCGAATGTGCTGATAAACCGAGAGACTGGACAGATTAGGATATGCGATTTCGAAAGGGCTGTTTTGATGGAACGTCCTCGGCTCCCTCTTGGGTCTGTGGTGCTAAATAAGAGAAGGCTCCCGACAAGAGACAGCGGGGGGAAGGTGGGTCGTAACTTGCCTTGTGAACGGCAAATGCGTGAAGACTTGAACGCAGTCAACAAGATATGCGTGCAACAGATATGAGGTACATTGGCGTTTGGACTTGTCAAGGTCTGAAGATTTATACGATGTCAGCGTTTAGCTGTTCGATGTGCTGACGGTTGTTCCGCTGGTCTATCCCAGAGCTCTACCGTACCGGTGTGCTGGGAGTTATTTGGAAGTGGGCGGGAAGCGGTAAAGAATCCGCGAGGCAGTAGATGAATGTCTTCTATCCAGATCTTCAGATGATGGCCGCTTTTAAGAACGACGCTACAATAGAGATCAGATATATGCTCTCTCCTATCTAGAAGATTGAGTACATCGTATTGTATTTTGGTTTGGATCTAGGGAATAGCTCGGCACACCATAAGAACGCATTATATGGATACAAGTAAATAAATGTTACAATGCTTCAAGTAGTCGGCACTGTACTAGTAGTATGTAGACCAGAATGTGATGAGGTTAGCCCCTGACTGCGGCTACCATATAGTAACGTCGCTTCTTTGTCCATATTATCCACTCTTGTCGGCCTGCCTGTTGCGCCACTGAGTAGCTAGCAACTTCCAAATTGTTGCAAGCAAAATGACCCACTTTCTGAACTCCATCATCAGTGACAATTCACAACAGTAACGATTGGTGTCTGGCAGATAAAAATCTCCACAATAAGTTTATTTGAGAAGAGTTTGTGACGTAATTGATATTTCCAAAGCTTTCAGGTCAGTTTCTGGGGAATAGGTGATAACTTATACTAAGCGCAGTGACAAGGATCCGTTAGACTGGCTGAGTATGTACATGCAGAGGTATTATACCCGTGCACATGGTGAATAAAGTGATGCGAAGTGGGCATAGATAGGCGTCTTGTGTCAGGATTAATCTAAAGACTGGCTATGTCGATGTTAAGAGATTTCAAAACAACAGCATAACACTGTGATGTGGCATAGTCTGACGCAGGCTGTGTCGAATGTACAATATATTCTACTAATTCTGATGTTGGTATCCGTGTCTGCAGCAAAGCATTAACGAGACAGCAAACAGTAAAGACATCCATTCGCACGAAAACTGTTTGTAGACCAGTCTGCCAACTCAAGTGCTAAGCAACGCTACCATTCTGAAAGCATCTGATGCATTAGCTTGTTGAATAATTACGAACAGAATGTACTGTCATAATATAAATGAGGACTAGCATCAATATACTTATGATTTACTTACAGCTAATTTTCAAAGATTGAGGCACTGCGTTGACAGAATTTATTTGCTTTCAGTTAAGCTGTGAAATTTCCCAATGATAATTTCACGGCCATGACGCAGCTAGAATTATACAAGCTGATTTCTAGATAGATGTTTCCTAGTGATCAATCATCTACAGGAAGATACGCCACCTGTTAATGTGCGAACGCGGTCTATGTATACTATTCGCACGGAACCAAGTAGTGCTATCTACAATTTCCGTGGGGTCTAGTCGAAATTATCTCTAGACCAAAGCCGATATAGACTGTAGGGCTCTTGCACCGAAACTGCACGTAAGATTTGCACTTAAACTATTTTGTGGTGCTATATACAATGATTCCGCGACTTGGTACAGGCCATGATGGACTAGAAAACTATAAGTAGATTGTTTCCGATAAGCAACCCAAATTCGATGTATTACTGGGGAATTGAAAGAACCGCAATGGAGCGAGGCCGAGTACCTGCATTAGACGTACCGTCACTAGAACCGCACCTGCACCAGAACCGCACCTCACATTCTTTCATCTGCTCAGCAAAGTCCAGGTTGATGGTCTGCACCGGGCCCTTGAAATTTTGGCGGAATTTGATGAAATCGGAGAAGACGATGGATTCGCATCTCAGCCAGAGCGAAAGGCCCTGGAGCTTACCCCTGACTTGGATGAGTGTCTCGTCGTACACAAAGCCTTGCTGCGTCTGCCCCTGCGCCTTAGCGTGATGGACGAAGTCGGCGACACGTTGAAAGGGCTGTTCCTCCTTGCGCACTTTCTTGATGTATTCACTAATGGAATTCCACAGCTGGAGGGCTGACTGGTATCTTTCACCACCGATGCAGTCACGAACGGCGTGCAGTTGTTTGAGCCGGACGTTGGCGGTCATACGAAGCTTCGCAGGTCGGGTGTTCTGAGGCAGCATCCTCGGCAACGACTTTTCGGACAAGCTCTGCTGGATATCCACGAGACGCTGTGCCAGTTGTAGATGCTCGTCATTGGACCAGGCAATGAACTTTTTCGTAGCTTCGTCAAGCATGGCACGCCTCACAATACGCCCATAGCGAGAAACATTACGCAGTGAGCTGCGGCAAGTAGGGCAGGTCTTGACTTCGTCCATCAAGAAAGGTCGGGAGATGCCAGACACTGCAATAGGATTGTCCTCGGCCGACATGGTGTAATGAGCTTTCATGTCCATGACTCCGTCCATACTTGACTTGGCGACAAAATGACCGCAGGCAGGAAAGATGCAAGGATCCACATCAATGTCGATCTCATTATACTGCAATCCCATGATGAAGTCCACCATTGTGGACTTGATCTCGTCTGAACAACACACCTGGCAGTATTGATCACCCGGACAAAGCTCTCCACAGACAGATGGGCCTGGGACTTGGAGTCAGCATTCAATGTGCCATGGACGCAAATAATCAGTACTTACATTGGTGTCCACAGCCCAGCTGTGCTTCACATCTTTTGGAGCAAGGGACCCAGTCACACGGAGCGGCACATCTGTTGGAAGTCAGCATGAATCATAAGTGAACCACATTGTGGACTTGAAAAGGGGTCGACGCGCTAGGGTATGAACTTACGGCATTGTGCATTGCGTATGGGGACACTTTGAAGCACATTCTTGCTCCGCACATGGAGCACAGGGCTCGTGGCATGATTTGCTGCATCGGGAGTGACTGCATTCTACCTCACACGGCGCAGAGCATGGCGGGCACTTGGCTTCGCCGTGACAGTCCTTTGCACAAGTGTGACGGCATGTGCTATAGTTCCTGTCACATGACTGCTGGCAGATTCCATGGTTGACCTTCGTCACTTGGTCCCCAGCTCTCTCCTTGCATCGAAAACATGCGCTGCGGCACATATGCCCGCATGGCTGTGGATCGCCACAAATAGCCTGGCACTTGTAACTATCGGCAGCGACGTTTACGTGGCACGGAACCGTCACAGCGTGGTCGCAACCTGGCACGTTGCGTTTGACGGTTTCTTTACACCGAATAAAGGAGGGTACCTGTGCTTCCCAGCAGAATGCTTTTGTGGCCCGATGGCCACAAGGAAGGACGAGATCAAGGTTCTCGAGCTGTTCTCCGCATCTGGGCTCACACGGATCTCCGCAATTGAGCCTACATGGATGGCTGCATCCTTTCTTTGCTCTTGGACAAGGCTCCAGACATCGGACGGCATTGTGTAAGACCTCGGAATGACATCTGTTGATGCATGAGTGGCCACATGGGAGGCGCTTGTCACAACGCAGACTACAACCTCCTTCAGGCGAAAACTGAAGAAAGTGATCGGGCTGGGAGACAAGAATTGCAGTGTCTGGGTGGCGGCTACACTGAAGTCCCAGTTCTGTCCCAAGGTTGCCATTGCTACTGAAAATTTCCAGAACATGGGCCCACATCGGAACTTGACCATAAGTCTTTGAGTTACCAATGAGGTACATGCCGTGCTGCGCTCGAGACAGAAGTACATTGATGCGGTTGGGAGTGCTGAGAAATCCGCACTTGTTTTGCTGATTACTTCTGACCAAGGAGACCACGACCACTTTCGCTTCTTCACCTTGGAAATTGTCGACGGTAGCCAGTCGGATGCTTTTTAACAACGTTGTTTTGATGGCGACAGGCGGTGAGTTTTGGGAATCGCCTTCACCATGCGTCTCGGATTCCAAAGCTTCAAGCTCCTCCAGATCTCGCTCGCCAACGGAAATCTCGAACATGGACTGCATGAGACGCCGAAGTTGATGGAGTTGACCGAGATATGGAGTTATCACGGCAATATCATCGGGACCGTATCAGCCTTGCCGAACGAGATGCTGGACGAGTGCAACCGTCATTTGAAGCTCAAAGGAGTTGGTGTGCGAAGTGGTTGAGTCGTCCAGCTGCGTTTCTCTATCCTCGGGTGACTCATGGTGTGACCAAAACAAGCGCTTCTTCATGCCAACTATGGCAGGATACTGGGATACATTGCCGCCGTTTTCCAAAGTAGGGTAGAGTGTAGATCGTAAACTATTCATACATGTGCATAAAGTCACGCCCGTTTCGATCGACACATTGTAATGAGACAAGTACCAAATGTGAACTTACAAGGATTGGGCCCAGGTCAGCGCGCTTCTTGTTTGCCAATAGAACCTTGATGATCTTCTCGCCGGTATAGCTTTTGCCAGTTCCTGGAGGCCCTTGAATAAGAGACACTCCTCTCAACAGAGAATTGAGCAAGGCCGTGGATTGGGTCAGATCCAAAGGGGAATGGTCTGCCAGCTTCTGTGGATCAATCGGTTCTTGTGGCAAGAAAATTGCACTCAGTATTTGGAGGCCGTTCATAATCCCATCATTGCTCAAGCTTGAGTGAGCTAGACTGTCCATGACGAATTACTCCTTTGGTCCTTGTGTCCATGTTTCAGGCTCTTCAATAATGATAGGTATACTCCATACGCAACCTTGCTCCTGCCGGGTTTTCCCTATCGAACTTGTCAGGGCTAAATTCTCACTTACGAAGCGAAGATAACCATAGTGGATCTCGATCGATGTGGACATCACCGATGCGATCTTAGGAGCTTTATGGTCTTCTTTGCAGACAATATTCGAACACTGAACATTCCCTTTAAGACGGTATCTCTGATGCATGCAGGAACATCATCCAGAGAAGAACGTGCCTTCGGAATGACCGGATGCGAATGCAGTTATCACCATCACTATCTGCTTACATCGCTCAGGTAGCATAGATGTTGCGTCAACCGTGGATTTAGTCAGCTGACACGCGTGTAGTTTGTATTTTGTTCCTCATTGCCTCACGCACGCACGTACAAACATCTCTGAGCACTCGTCGTAGAGATGTACGCAACTAAGTATCTTCAGAATCCTCGTACCATCTCGAACACTTCAGGAAATTTGTCATCAGGCCCCCGTGGCAACAGATTGTTGACGACAAATGGTCCCGTCTCGACTTGCGCCTCCGCTTTCGAGGGCAGCAGCTCTAGGATGCGAGATTCCTTGATTTCGAGGCCGTGTTTGCCAAAGTATCTCTCGCTCTCGAAACTCCACTGGACATTGGCACCGACCCATTGAGCAATGCCGTCTACATATATTTGGATATCCAAGTCGACGGGACCACCCCAACGGCGCACTACGAGAACCGCCTGATTGAATTGCTGTACGAGCTTGGCATGTATCCTCGCGGCCCAGTCAATCGCTTCCTGTAGACTAAAACGACACTCTTTCATAATAATGCTGATGAGGTTATGCTCATCGTCGCCAGAGGCTTGTTCCTTGTTGTATGACAGCACATCCTAGAGCGCCGATGATGTGAGCTTACTGTTCCGTGTTCTGTGTCTTCCGCGTCTTTCATGAGATCGACTACGCTGACAGCAAACTTACATTAGCAATGATAGTCAGATCCACCGCGAGCGTCTCTAATGCTCTGATAGTGGGATGCGTTAGCACCTCATCTGGCAGGTTCATTTCCATCTGGAAAAAGGCCAGTGAGGGCATCACTCCAATGGTTTGCCGCCGAACCTCGAGATAGCTGGGGACGGTGCGGATGTGAGAGCGGAACCTATCTTCTGCCTGTTGTGCAGTTCCTTTCAGGTACTTCTCCCAGCTTGCAAGGAACCGCTGCTGGAATGAGCTGGTTGAGATCCCAGCCACTCGAATCCAAAACCTGTTGTGCACCTCCGGTGAGCTCACTTGTTCTTATCATGACGGTAGCTGACCTGGGGAAAGGACGACCTACTGTCGCGTAATCTCGCCGCCGACCCATTCTCCGGCTGGGCGTGGCATTTCGGGATTACGCAGAGCATCCATCAAGATGTCGACTTGATTCCATACATCGGCCGGTTCAGATATGTCGGAGTGCTCGTCAAAGATGAAGGAGAGGTTCATGACATCACACGTACACCTCAATTGTTCTCTGTCCAATCGCGGGTACATCAGACCAGCCAGCAAATCTGCAAAAGTTCATGTCAGCGTGCCGGAGCCTTGTCACTCAATGGTAAATAGATACGGGTGCCACTGACTAAAGTTACATTTGTCGAAGGCCTTCTGTGCCTGGGGGTGAATGCCCCGAAACTAGACACCCAGTTGAGGCATTCTTGTTTGATGTCGGCCGTGTGGATGTTGAGTTGACGAGGCCATCGCCAACCGGCCTCTAGATCGGGTAGTCGGATGACCTTGGCCATGCTGATGTTTGCTAATAAGGCCGATAGGTCTGGTTGGGATGACAGGATAGGGTGAAATGCTGGGTTGAAAGTTTTTGCAGTGAACGATATGTCTGATCCTTCAGTTGCAATGACACGATTTCTTCATATTTATATAGTGATCGCTGAGAACAGCCCACGTAAGTGGTGAAGCACTTGAGGCTGGCGGTCTTGGATGTGCTGGAAAGCACCTTCGATGAGATTGAATAAGTCCTTCAACCCAAGAAACGACTCTATAGGAGGGGCATTGTGGCGCTTGTCGGAGAGAACTCACGAATGCGGATCTCTATATGTATCAGAGGTTTGATTGCGTAAGTTGATCCTGTCCATATTCAAGCCTTGACTGGTCCTCTCTGGCACATATGTCTAATTATCCATTCACATAGAGGTACAGACAAGATCAAAACCGGCTTCCTCCTTTTGTCTCTCTCTTTTCTTCTCTAAGCACAGACGATCCATTTCTGGCTCTGGTCTGTACCTATACCCTAAGTACTCTTTTGGACCGTAACAATTCTGATTCCAGGACGTGAGCTTTAACCAGGCTCTTTCGCACTGAATGATAAACGGGTGGCGTTAGCTCGCCGGATTGACTTCAAGGTCTCGCGTGTGCTCGATGGAAGTGGTAGGAGACTTACATTGGCAATGATGGTCAAGTCCACTGCAAGCATTTCCAATGACTTGATAGAGGCGTGCGCCAACACCTCTTCCGGCAATTCCATCTCTATTTGGAAGAAGGCCAAAGACGGCATGGCACCGATGGTCTGCCGGCTGACTTCGAGGTAGCTGGCTACGGTGCGGATATGTGAGCGCGATCTATCTTTAGCCTGTTGTGCAGTTCCTTTGAGGTAGTGCTCCCAGCTCGCAAGAAACCGGCTTTGGAACGAGTGGGTTGAGATCTTAGTCGTGTGGGTCCAAAATCTAGTTTACGTCGCCGGTGAGCTACTTCGGTCTTTTCATCGATGCCGTTTTACGAAAGAAGGAATAACCTACTGTCGCGCAATATCGCCACCCACACACTCTCCGTCCGATCAGGAGCTTTCGGGAGTGCGAAGAGCATCCATGAGGATGCCAACTTGAGTCCATACATCGGCTGGCTCGAATTTATCGGAATGCTCATCGGAGATGAAGAAAAGGTTCATGACATCACACGCACACCTCAGCCGTTCTCTCGTCAGGCGTGGGTACATGAGCCCCGTCAGAAAACCTTCGAAAGCTCAGGTCAGCACGAGATGATATTCAAGGCGAGATGCCACGATCAGATGACCATACTACTGCTCCTCCTTGCAGTCATCTGCCAAACTGCCCCTAGTCACACCCTGACCCGTTTGATAAAGTATCCCAGAAGGCCATTTGCGAATGAATCCATCACAAGCACGAAACTATGGCCTTTGACAAGCTCTTTGTCAGTTGGTTTGCTGCACCACGCTCACTTCGTAAAGTCTCTGTGTCTGTGACAAGAATGGTTGGTGCTAATCTCTTGATCATGCCTGCTCCTGAATGTAGTTCCGTCGGGAAGTGTTACAATAATGTAGCAATATGAGTCAGGGAATAAAGGGAAGCCGTACAGAACTTCTTAGCGCAGTCCCAGTATTAGGCTGCGAACCAAATTCATACTCGGCGCACAGCTGATGGATACGTCCGGCCAATGCCACTCCAACATCCGTGCTGGTGTGGCATCATCAATACATTACTCGTCCGATGAGAACTGGTGACTGTATGGTGAAGAAGGCCAAAAATGGCATCTGAGGTCGGCCTTTCGGACCTGCCAGAGAAGGGTAAGAATCTTGCCCAGTCGTAGAAGCTCCCTGTCAGATACTAAAGACCATGAATAAGCTTACCCGTAGGGATGTGGATACGCTAGGCTAAATCATACAGAGCAATATGATTAAAGCAGGTATCCTAATACATGCCACTGTCCTCCACTATCTCTATTAGAGCTGGAGTTCCTGGTGAGGCAAGGTAGACTTGACATGAGTGGTAGAATGTGAAAGTACTTCTTCGCAGTCTGCCTTATTTTTCTCTAGCCATTTATGAGCCTCAGCACGACACGGGTCTTCGGATGGGTACTTTTCACACACTTTTAAGCTAATCAAGACTCTCATGGTCGAAACGCAACGAACACTCATCTTCCTCTCCCTCGCAAACGACGGACGGTGCTGCAAAACACATGGATAAGACACCGACGAAATATTCATCTGAAAAGAAACCAGCGTAGCATTGCTTCACTTTCATGGACACGGTCTTCTCCATTCGACCAGCAGAACGTTCGATGACGCCATAACTGGAGTAGGAATACTATATTATTAAGAAGAAGAAAAAAAAGGAGTCAAAACAGAGCCGAGCGATCGACCTGAAGATCGAGCTGTAACAGAACGGACGATTTGGTTTCCCCACAAGACAATACTCAGCAAGCGGCTGACCGCCACTCTAATGTGTCGTCAATACGACCAACAGTACCCATGCTGAACGGCAACGTATCAAAAAACGTTCCAGTGCGCTCGTTGCACTCAAGCTCAGTGTCAACAGCTAGGTCGTCTGCTGCGCTGTCACACTCGCGTGTCCCGTCTATGGCTTCTTGGACCAGACACAGTCCGATCATCAACTCCAGAATTTCCGAACTAAGGAGACAAGCCCTGGCAAGAGCTCAAGCATCGCCAACCACAAGTTTACGTCGGTCGTCCTTGCGACCTATGACAAGGCCCTCTTTGCCTTCTGCAACACCACGGCCAATCTCAGCAATACCACAGACATCTCCAACTGCACCCCCGACATTCCCGACAATACAACGTCGGTTCGAACCTTCTTCTACACCCGTCAGTCTAGAAACGCCCCACGGTCGTGTGAGATGGTTTAGTAAGTTCACCCAGGACGCGATAAGCGGAGGAGTATTTCGGACATACTGCGGCACATGGTCAACTGACCAAATCTTACGGGTGTTTCTAGCACACAACTTGAAATTGCTCTTTCCATATTCGCCGCTGCTCTAGTTGCACTGAAGCCGTTGTTTCAAAATGCCACCGGTCATGGCACCTCCGCGTCAACGGGTAATGCAAAAGCGAACCAAGCGTTTGAATTGCCCGCCAGATACGCGTCTGGCCGGAGTGATCAGGGTAACCGTTACGCAGGCAGCCAGGAGTTGATTTTGCCGCCAAAATGAATCTACAGACAAACAGAAGTCCACGTCAGCAGTGAAACAGCAGAACAAGGCCATAGCCAATACCACAAGACTTTGTGCTCCGCCTGAATGGATAAGTGCACGCTTCTGGAGAGATACATACTGTACATCATGGTTATAGTCCTCAAGGTGTGTGAGACATTGCCTGATGCTGGGTTTACGTGTAATTAGAATCCAATGGGAAGTCGAAGGCTGTGGTAGATATGCTTTTTGGGATAAGCCAGTATTCCCCAATGATGTAACTACGGTTTAACGTATGAGTAATTGCGTATAAAGAATCACTCTGTCATTGCACGTTTTGCCATACCCAAATAGGTACTGTAGTCCAAGTGATCAATATGTAGAGGAGATTCCATGAGCACTCACAACTGATTGCCACAAATCCATTTTTGAACATGCACTACGCGACAACGCTGCGCAGTGGCGTTCCAAGCACTCCTAATTTTGGCTAGGAGACAACGAACGCGCAAATATCTGGTGTCAAGTGGTGGCACTTGTAGAAACACCGTCGGCCCATGGCACGAATGTTGTGCATATTGCGAAGATATCGAGTATCCTGACTACTCTATCACGAGTAACACATATGATAATCTATCGGCTAAACAAATGAGTCCTTCGGCGGAGAGCATGCTCTATTTCCTACGTGGTGGACTTGGCATGGAATGATGTGTATTGGCAAGTTGGCGCATCATGCATTAGCGAAAGTGCTAGTGGACACAAATGATTGGCACTCATAACACCCGCATGCATTGGCTCAAGGGACTAGCTAGGGTTTGATCAGTATGATCCTTGGTAGCCATGTGCACATGGGGCTTGGAAGTGAATACTTCCCCATGTAAAACTCTCTAATTGGGAAGCTTCAAAATCATACAGGGCTTATGCCATGTGGCTTGCCCCACGGTGTACAAGGTGCTAAGTGACGTTTTGCTTGGTGCAATGCTGGGGTCTAAATCATGTATTGTTGGGAAAATACCAAGAGTCAACCAGCCGCAGAATCGGTAGCAGAACGATGTTGGTAGCTTGCCGTCAAGAGTAATTGTTCCAGGAAGCAAATAGGTTTTCAAGATTCCCATAGTGAGGATGGATCACGATGATAAGATATGTTAAGCATGCCGGTGATCATACGACTCACTGTGGCGTAGTGAGTAGAGATATAGTTGGACCACCTCTGCCCAGAACCGGCAGTACAAGGTTAGTATCAAGGTAGCAAAGCTCTGGATGGAGGATCCAAGGGTTATGGAAACTTATCCCAGTCCATCTTCCGCAATATGATTCGAACATAATTGTTAATGTGAAAAACTATTTAAGACAGTTCCTACTGAATTAGCAAACCAAGGATTGATCCTTCATCGTAAGCTATTTTATTGGAGAGCAATATATAGTAACGGCTTCTGTTCCGAACATGTTAAGTCGTCGCCGGCAGCGTCGATTGCCATTAGGACAGCCCAGTGCCCTCCCAGGCCTGCGCTCTAACCTACCCCCTCCCCGACGACGCCAGACGATGCCGAGTCAACCTCAATACAACGATGAACAGTCAGTTGTGCGTTCTTTCACCAATTAAGAAATGCTGAACTGGTTCTAGGATCGAAATGATTATACAGGCGCTGGATGAGCTCGCAGCACGTATCAGCGACCTCACTACTGAGTAAGCTCCACATGCCCTACAGCCAATCCCCATCGAGCTTGAAGCTTTTGAGTGCTAAAGAAACCTCAGACAGCAAGAGACGAAGAGCATGTAAGTAGAGAATTGCAAACCAGAGTGAAAATTCACACAGGACTGACTTACTCCAGGATACAGGACATGACACGGGTGTTTCTGGATAAATTCAATAATTGGGTCACCTCGGTCACGGACATGCTCAGTCAATGGTTGGGTCCAAGCAGTGGCAGCAATTTTCAAAATCCGGCAGTGCCGTGATGCGTTTAGAATTAAGAGAATGTCGAGCGTGTGAATGCGTCGTTGATATAAATCATAATATCTAGGCTTATGTTCTTGGTTTACGTTCCAGTATTCAGTGCTCTAGTGATATGCGATAAACGAAACTTCTCGGTGTTATCGCGCAGGAAACGGGTCACAGAGGTCAGCTCGAGCATCGTAGCTTGGTAAGAATCATTGTCTCATTGTCTCGTACCCTACACAAGCTCTTCCTGCGATGAAAGCTTGGATATGGCACAGTCTGATCGGATGACATATATACTTACGCCATTACGTGCCGACGTGCGCTTTGACGGTAGCATCCTACTGCAAGCTGGGGAGAGCACTGCCAAGCAATTTTCAAACACTACACCTACACCCTACGCTTCGGATATTTTGAATACCTTCCGGTGGACCATCTTTTCCTGTGTCCCACTAGTTACAATTGAGGCCGTATCCACCGCATCGTCTCCATCATAAAGTTGTCAAGGCACCTGAGCTGGTCGACGGGAGACGCAGGGGCTCTACGATCGATTACCACCTACGCGCGTCGCATTTCACACCTAGGCCGATCGTTGATGGACTCATTAAGCCCTTCTCAGCATCTTAACATACAAATGGGTATGCTCACGTCGAGAAATCTTGGTTATGCAATTAGGGACAACAAGTGACCGGCTGCAAGCATTATATTCTACATCTGCTGGTTAGGAGCTCTTCGTTTTGACAGTAGACTAAGAGAGATGGTATACACCTCTACTGCTCTTGAAATGAGGGACGAATCTCGGACAAGACGTGTTGGACATCAGCAGGCTGTCATGGAGCGTGGCGACCGGTGTCGGCTACTCATCGTCTCGCAATTATGAATAAGGCATTAATCAATGTTTGACTAGGTTGGAGAGGGGGGGGGGGGGGGGGGGGGGGGAATACGTTAACCTTTAGGGCTCTTCGCATAGCCGCCAGCAAGCGAATGCCAGATACACATTCTAGTCAGGAAGGCATTTTGTCGCAACTTAGAATCACGTCAGCCAAGACTTTTCTCGACCAAGTTAGGAAACCTCTCTAACTAGCCCTAGAGGTTTTGCTTATAAATTCGCTCCAATCTTTCCCGATGAGAGGGCATGGTAAAATGTCCAATAACTTCAAGAGTGCAGGGGGCAGGTTGGGCACAATTAGCACCCGCATGAAACTAGACTCACGTGGGATGGGGTGCGCCGGCAGGCAGGATCAGTGGATAAGGAACCCAGGCGGCACAGTAATGCTCTCCGCAATTAATTACAGCACAGACCAGTCTCAATTAGACTACATTATATTCAAGCCTGTACAGATTCCCGCCGTGATAGTATTTCCCTACAGACTCGGTCGAGACGTGTTCTCAGGTAAACCAAGCGTTAACCGGTATTCTAAAACGTGCTATGGTGTCGTGTTGGAGGAGCGGACAACGGCTCTGATGCGTCTTAATGAAGGTACCAATGCCCACTAAAACTGTAAAGCATGATTGGCAGCAACGGCGGAAGCCGGTCGACGTAACTAGGCAAGTGATAGGTTCAAATTTGAGCAATATTAGGGACGCGACTCGAGCTGAGTAAACTAGCGCAAGGGCAAGCTCAAGCGGAAATGATTCGCCAGGTGGCAAGCCTCTGGTTGGCGATCAAAAATCAAAGTCTCCGCTTGGTACTTCTATATGTTTCTCCACTCCCCTGGCATTCTTCCTCTTAATTTACCAAACTGTCGGGTCACAGCAGACGACGCGGACGATTGATCACGCTGCCATGCACAAATTATCCAACATCCACACAAAATACACACGATTCGATTACTGGTCTCCTTTTTGGTGTGGACTAGGAGGAATTGGTTGCGAAGATGAACTGTACAAACCACGATCCTCTGGAGCAGGTGCGAGCAATGTGTGACGACTTAAGAGGGAAGTTTCACCAAGATCCTGTCGGCATCGACTTTTCTCACTCCCTTTTCGGGGTCTTGGGATCAACACGAGAACCGCCGAACCGTGCCAATATTCACACCGCTGCCCTTTGACGGCCACGATACTACACCCAGTCATGAGATCTCATGGGTGATCGCCGGAGTGGTATCCACGAGTCAGTGATTCGTGCATTCTTTCACGCAAAATTGAGGTTCTGAGACTCACTATTGAGACTTCCTTTGTATCGGGAAGCCAAGTCGGACTGTGCTCGTCTGACTTATTCAGGTGCAATGTCCACAACCCGCCGCCCGGCCATGCGCCTTGCGTTAAGAGCACCAACGTCTTCGCACACACAGCACTAATGTCAACACCATGCAACTAATTTCAATACCCAACCAACCATAACTATCAGCTCGCATGAACAGTTAGTGTCAAGCGCAAGACCGAAACGCTGAGTTATGGGTGGGGCAATCTGTCACGTCATGCACCGCTACAGTTATCTTCATAAGGTTGGCGCGAGAAAATCCCTCATGGTCTGGTTCTTAGTGTGAAAGGCGCAGTCAATATACGTTTCAATTGACTATCCTGTTGACGAGCATCTAAAGCTTGAAAAAGACTAGAAACACACCTTTCATCCATATGATGGGCACAATTTGTAGTTGCAGATTCGCCACCTCGCCAGTCCGTCGAAACCTTATTGCTTGGGGAAAGTGCACGCCGGCAGCCGTGCCTATAAGCTAGTCGGGCTGAGCTTCATGGTCGCGCTCATGGTTGAAGGCTTTGGCTGACAACTGATACACGGCCCATAGCCCGTAACACTTAGCCCGGTCGTCAAGGAGGCTCCTCTCTGTAGGCATTGATCTGTACAATGCATCAGAATCTGTCTTACAATGGGTGCTCGAGCGCTCTGTCAAATCCACAATGTGCCGTGCTAGAATAGTCTGCCTGTGCTTGTTCTAGATCGCTGCTTTGCTCTTCTCGGCTTCTGATAACAGACTCCGGTGGGTTTATGTGGGCTCCAAATCAAGCACGGAGTGAGTGGCCGAAAGTCCGCTTAGCTCGGCACTAATCGTTACAAGCTGATCTGGGGCACCATAAGTATCTAGGGTGGGAGGGGGAAGTCCATAGAGACATGAAGCACCACTCTTATGAGAATAAAAGTGACCATTCCATGTTTGTGTATTAGAAGATGGGATGTCGTACGAGGGAAGCAGTTTACTATTATGCTTAGTAAGATGAGTAGGCAAGGACCCGATAAGTAGCCATCGGCTCCTGCCAGAATATAGAGAATGTGATGCTACAATCCAAGTATACTAGGGCAATAGAGCGCTCGCGAGTAGGTCGGAACGTTCTGGGCAATGCTCAAATTATGCTCCTCGACATGTGGACTGCCTTATCTCTCGCCACTTCCGCCACGGATCAAAAGCGGTGGCATTTCGTCCGTCCAGCTTCTCAGTTACATTCAAGAAACAAGAGTCTCTGTAGAACGACAACATGCCTACGAACAGCCTCGTGCGAGTGCCCCTCATGCTCTTTCGTGTCATAAGCTTGCACATCCAATAATATAAACAAACAAAAGTACAAAATATTCGTTGAAGTCTTCCCAACCCAAGAGGCCAATCAATATCCTGGGTACTTTTGGTCTATTTCCAGATTAACCATACAGAACGCACAAATCCCACGGATCTACTAACCCCACAAACCCAGCCCTCTTGCAGTTGGTGCAGTTATGGTATGAGATCATCCTTGTTAGCATGGTATCTTAACCCTACCTCTACTTGACCCGAATGGTCTCAACCCATCCGAGTAACTAAATCTCGGTTATTGTCGTCCCCAGTCACCCCCGCAGCGAACTAGACTCACGTGTGATGGTGCGCAACGTAAGAAGGATTGCAATCAATTGATTGCGGAGCTGTGTGTTATGGCCACCAATGACTTGCGCAGCCACGCGAACATCCCTGGGGTCTCCACTGATTACGAGGCAGTGCTCTGGATTGGCATAAAAAGACGCTCGACTGCCCTGCCATTCCTCCTCTTAGCTTACCAGACTGTCGGGTCACAACACGCGATGAGACAGGGAACGAACGATCGACCAGGCCGCCAACCACCACTATTCCCACTTTACAGCCGAAGTTGAACAACCTCACAGGCGGACAAAGTAACAATATCGAATGGCCGATTTCATTCTTGTGCGGAAAGGGATAAGTCGGTACAAAAGACGAAGAATGCCAGGGCGTAGGAATACGTATCCTCCTCAGCCTGGTTCGATCTAGCGTAGCTTTCGATGGCCATGGCTAACACAACGCGAGAAAGACTCAATATCGTACGCTAGGTGTCTTATGGGTCATAATGTGGCCCCAACCTCGTATTCGATTAAGCAACTTCTGGCTTACTACACTCTGAATACCTGCGGTTGAACTTGAGCAAATCCTGTGTCGGTAGTTTTTTCCCGGCTGTACGTGTACCAACCAATACTGCCTGCGTAAATGGTTCTTCCAATAGGATGCAAGCTTGGCACCATTTGTAAAGTACGCTTAATGAGCCCAGCCGAGTGACCAACGGCTGCCCAAGGATCAAAATCTACTTCGAGCGGGAGGAGCGTGGACAGTGCCGGTTTTCGCGAATGTTGCAACAAAGTAAGCACAAAGTATATCATAGTATTGCAGAAGAGGCAGCTTGTCTTTCACCTTCACTATGTCCTACGTAACCGTGTCATCAGAAGAAGACTATGAACCTACTTACACCTCAGCCAATGTTGTCTGGACGGATGAGACTGCACCCATATCCTTCTTGATATCACTCTCACGACCTGTCACTGAATTTAGATCAGGCTCCGGCAGTGCCTCCACCAGGTCTGCAACCTTGTGGTCAACTAGTGCTGCCATGAAACGCTCGAGGTGAGCGTTGATCCGTTTAATAGTTTGCATACACGTAGTTGTCACTGTCCAACCCATGCCAACGAGAAAGCCCAGCTTATATTCGATCATGACATCTCTCTCTAGTGTAGAAAGCTTCGGCCCTCCATAGGAATCTAGGCAGTCGAGATAGTGCTGTAGTATCTCCATCTCGTGCTTCCGCCGATCATCTATCGACAGTGCTGAGGCGGTAAAGTACGACAAGTCGTGAAAAGGTGGACGCGAGTCGACTATCTGCCAATCAATAAAGCCAACTTCTCCATCAGGCGAAAAGCACGTGTTTCCCACGTGTGCATCGCCATGAACTAAACATTGGAAACGGTTTGTAGGACGGGAAAAGTATCTGTTCAGCATCGCCCTGGCAAACTTGCCGTTACGATACTGCTCCGGTAATTTGTAGCGGGCTGGATCACGAGCCATCTGATCATAGTCCACGCCCTCAGCATCGAACATGTCATTCATTGTCTTCTCATATGGAGTCATCCATGGGTAATCTGCCCGTGACCTGCCCCACGTACCTGCATGCAGGGCGGCTAGCTGGGCGACACCGTCTTTAACCTGCTCGACAGATAAGATCACTTCCGGGTCGCCAAAGGTGTATCCCTTGTCCCTCAAATCTTCCATGACAACGATGCCTTGCTCCTGATTGACTCGAGTCCCGAAGCACTTTGGGAACTCCATGCTGCCCAAAGTTGGCATCACTGTACGAAAGAACTGTGCTTCGACACGGCAAAAGTCTTTCAGTGGTGGTATATCCTTTGCTAGTTCCGGGTTGAAGCACCCTTTGATGCAGATGCGTCTTGGCCATTTTCCGTTTTGATCAGTACTTTGGTACTTGACGGTGAGGAATATTTTGTCGGCTGTTCCTTTCATGGTCCGAGCCACTACAATAGATTCAACGGGAAATCCTAATACAGCGGCCAGCCATGTCGGTGTGATCTGCTCGGCAGTAAGAGGAAGTGGTATGTTCGACATGATGTTTATCGATGTATGGGTAAATGATTATAAGAATAATGTAGAAATGAGGGTGAGATATTAGACATAAGATGAATGATATAGAACGGAAGATAGATATCGTGACGCGAGCTACTTATATATGTCAATTCGCCATGGTTCCTTGTATGACCAGTTCCTCGAGCTGCCCCAGCCAGAATGATGGAACTGTTACAATACTGGGCAGGTAATATCAGTGCTGCAGCACATGCCTCCAGGAAATAGCCTCAACGTAAACCAAGGTAACGATCATGGACTACACAAACAGCCAATAGCACCTTCGGAATAAAGCTGTGCTTGATCTTCCCTAGAGACTGGTCCCGCTGAACCGACAGTCCCAATAACCGGGGCATTAATAAGGCATACGAATAATGATCTTAGCAATTGCTTTCATGGCTATTGTAATGAGAGCATGTAATTTCGGGGAAGCGTTACGGATGCACTGCACCCTTGCGCTGAGACTAGCATATTGTTGAGTTGCTTAACATAGACCCGCAGTCTTTCCAGGCCTAGCACTTTATCCTGCACTCCCAACACTAGCAAAATACTAGTGTCTGAATAAAAGTCCCTCGAGGTGGGCCAGCTAGGAGGCCTTACAAGCAATCCTTACAAGCAATGGCATCCAAGGGGCTTTCTAGGATGTGATCATATCATTCTGGGAAGTGATTCGTACCGGACCCTTGTTTCCGAGAGGGTCATTGATAAGGCCCCGTTATCTTTTCCGGGGTCTAGGACGTAACGCCGCATTCCCGACGCTAGTATACGGCCAGTCGTCTGTCCAAGCGCAAATTTAACCCACCCAATCATGATGCTACAGCCTAGCGCAGAATAAGAAGTGGAGTATCGACCGGATGATTTTCCTTAGATGGATCTTTTTCTCCGCTGCATGTGCAATCGCTCTCCTTCAGGAGACAGCATATCGGCAGGATAAAATTAATTGGTCGTGTGGCGAAGACGCAACGACACAGCTCAGTCACCGAAACACTGGATCCTGGATGCTATGGTAAGATGTACTTCACGTGTTCATGTTCGACCTGCATTATGCGATTGTTATCCCGACTGGTCCATTAATTCAAACATTGTACTGATGAGCTAGGCACAGTAACGAAATTAGCTTCCGCTCATAGCGTGACCGCCTTGCAATCAAGCATTACAGGAGACAGTCGTTTTCTTCTTTGATCCCTCCCATTCGTGGATCCACAAGGATTATTTTCTTGTACTATGTGCATCGTTTACCACACCTTTTTACACTCACTTACACAGTCGATTTGAAGATGCCCTTCCGAAGCTGGGCAATGCTTTTATTTATTTATATATAGAACATCTAACTGCTTAGAAGTATTTGAGCCCAGGTAGTCTAGGACACACCTCACTGAAAGCACTAATGACTGATTGAGGTTGTGGGATGGATACATTTGTTGTTGCTAGGAATCCATAATTCCATCCAGGCCCTTTGAGATTAACTCCGCCCACCCAACGCTAGTATGGTTTTGTGATACTCTATGCGCCTTATTCCTCTTCCGAAGTGACAAACCAAGTCTTTGCAGGGCCCTTAACGTTAAGTCCGCATTACCGAACATCTTTTACATATCTAGACTCGTCTAATTGGGGAACCAAGCGAAACTCGCAAACGTAAGTAACGGCTGTACGGTTCTTTCTGCCAAATAAGTCGCTTTTATATCCTTGCTACCGATTGTTCGCTAGATTGCCACACCTAGCAAACTTCGATTAGAAGCTCGATATAATAAGGTTTGCGTCTACTGAAACTCATGCACGGGCCCTCCACCTAACAAGTATGGCATAAAAGGAGCACCTTGACCACTAGAATAATCCCACTTTGAAATAATGCTCCTGATAACCTGTTCCACTCCAGCTCAGGTTGTGAATCTGCTCTCAAGGTTTCGATCCTTACAATGGCGGCGACTCAAGGTCTTATTGCTGTGATGAGCATATTCCTTCCAAGTAATTTTCTAGTCGTGGGTCTCCGAAATATCACTCGCATCCAGAGCAAGGCATTTGGGGTGGATGATGTATTTGTCAATCTCAGCTTTGTGAGAACTGGCCATCTCCGCCAAGAAATCCGCACACTGCCGCAAACTTGAAGGAGAAAAGGTGAGCTTCGGCCCAGGTGTACCAGGGAGTTCAGGTGGCCGACAATCTCTTTACAGTCCTGACTCTCAGATGCAGTGACAAACGCTATTTCGTGGTTGGGTTGCCATTTTTCTGGGTGCATCAATGGCAGCAAGTCTGCACCATCTCCTTCGAGGGCACCATCAATTGAGAGACGTAGCTTCCGTTCCGTGCCTCCCAACACGACGTGGCTTCCCATGTATCGATCCAAATGTCTGAATTTTATTTCATGCGTGCTTCTGTGGATATGTGCTCGAAGAAGAGGTTCACATTCTTGATGGAGCCAGCGACAGGTCCGAATCAAACCGAACAACCCCTTGGCGCGTATTTCATTGCTCCACTTACGACTGGACGGCGTCCACGACAACTTCAGAGGCATGTCAACGGATACAAGATAGTCGTATATCATGATTCGAAGCTCTAGACAGAAATGAGCGTGAAGGATTACGTTCGCAGGGAATACATACCTGGAGGAAGTGACAATAGGAGGTCTGGCGGTTGTTCTCCATCTGAAGCGTCTATAGCGACGATTTGATTGTGTACAATCATAGCAGTTAAGACAGAAGTGTTTTCTTACGACTCTACTTAGAAAAAAAACAACGAAAAAAAGAAAAGAAAAATAAGTATTGATTCATTTATTGCTCATTGGTGGTCATGAGGGCAAGTGATCTTATATAAATATTCAACACGTTCGGGACTACACAGAGTGCTCGGAAGCCGCGAAATACGGCATGACTGTTACGCCGGTAAGTATGCCTTGAGGTTGACGGTAATTGTAGACTCTGCAGAAAGCACAACGACCAGCGCTATGGTGACACCAGTAAACGAATTATAGCCCTGACAAGATGCACCATTGTTCGACTGATTATTCCAGTACTTTCTTGAGTTACAGTCTGTTTGATGTCGCACTGAAGTTAAGTCCTCTAGTACAACCCTATATTCTTGAAAAACACGGCCGTAGGATCGACGGATAGAGCACAGTTGCCTTCTTGCCAAGGGCGATGGTGTTACGGCAAAGTGATGGACCACTTCTGCGATCTTGATCTTCTCTCAGGAATACAGGGTCCTCGAGGAAGAAAGTATGGTCGTATATCTCTCTGCATCTTTGTCAGGTCTACCTTCCAGGTGTATATTTGTGCCTGGCTGTTACATCCTGTCTGTTGTAATATATGCGCACTCATTGAAGTTGTGCCCATGGACTTTTCTCGTTCGCTTACATATAGACCCATCAGTCCGATGGCCTCTAAATTCGACGCTTCCTCGGACTGAACCTGCGCTCCATCATCATCCAATGCTGCCTCACTCCTCCAGGCGTTCGGTCCAGTCTTGTGGCTATATATTCCCAGCTCTGCTCTTGTTCCATCCCCGCTCGCAGAGTCTGCTCCTGTCGAGGACTCCAAGGCTTATGACACATGACACGTCGTCTCTTGGCAGGTCTTCCCCGTGGCTCTCCGTCTACATAGTCTTGATCGCTGGTCGCGCATTCCCGGAGGTCATCCGATGGCAGTTTGGCCATGGCGAATGGGCCCAAGCGTACTCCTATACTGTCCAAACAAGAGCGGATGAGCCCAATTCAATCAGCAATTCAGAAGGTATATTTGGGGGATAGTTTCCTGGTAGCTATACCGAGAGACTAGACCTGTCTAACATATAGTATACGTTTCGAGCGCGCGGGCAAAAGTAAGTATTAAGGATACCTTGTACTATAATTTCCGTGATCATACTATACCATCAAGGAGTTTGGATCAATGCCAAAAGCATTCTGTTTTTGAATCGTAACGTATCTTAAGACGATCATATGTTCACGACTCGTTTCAGACTTGCACGGGTTGAAGTCCAATTCAGGTCGGCAGTCAGCCGGTGGTGTCGGAGTAAGCTTTGAGCGACCGGTTGCAGAACCTGGCACACAGCCGGTATTGTCTTGTCCTCGCGCATCTCGTCCAGCAGCTGTTCCACCGATGCGTGTGTACTCGTCTGGGTCACGATTTAGCCTCTCAGCTCCAAACTGTCAACTTGCACACTTTTTGCCAGCTAGGATGACACCTTGGCCGAGACCAGAGACACTGGTCCCGCCTTTCTTCTCTAGCCCCTCGTCAATATCTTCCATTGGCGGACGAAACGGATATTAACGTCTAGCCTCTTCTTGTATTGCGCTTGCTCTTCTAGACTTGCACCACGATTTATTCGCTTGAGATACTCCTTATGGGCCTGTTGGCACAATAACGTCGTCATCTGCAGATGCTATCTCCCTTTGCAGTGCTTGGCGCGAGACCAAGTTCTGCCTGATTCTGAGGACAATTCTTCCAAACGAACGCAACCACTCTGGTCAGGACGTCCATCGTAGCCAAGTAATTGGAACGACATTTCATCAATATACATTAGTACAAGATCAAACAAGAACGTTTCGAGCGGACTCACATAATCTGGTCAGCATTAGTGGAGTAAATGGCTAGCTGGAGAGGTGATCACCCGAAAAGTAATAGTAACGTTTAGCGTTGTTTCTATGATGCGACAAGGCCGTCCTTTGCCTAGCGCTCCCGCAAGGAATGCCGTTGCTGTCGCATTGCTTAAAGCATGAAAGCATATGCCACATTACTGGTGTAGGGATTACTGGTGTAAGCCCCAGCGTCTGTACCTGCATCCGTGCGGGTAGGGACTGCATCGCCTGTGCGCTACGTGTCGACACCGAAGTACGTCTGTCTCAGCAAATTGATAAGCCGGTCGGCCGCTACGCTTCCACACTCGGTAAGGAAGCCTAAGAAATATACCTTCGGCGCTCGCTATCAACTCTCCGGGAATTATGGTCCGAATACTCTCGACCGAGCGCGATGCGAGAGAAAACATGCAGGAGGCAAAGAAAGAGAAGAGACAAGCGACAAGAAAAAAGGCACAGAGATGAGGAGTTGGGGGAGACAGAAGGAAGTGGGAAAGAGAAGAGGAAAGGGAAAAGACAAGAGGGGGGAGAGGTGCAGGGCGGCATTTGCCTGACGGAGGGGTGGGCGAACTGTTTGTTCTTCTTGGCTCCCTTTGTCTCTTCGAGAGCCAGAAATGGACATCGATATCGACGTCTGGCCTGTCCCAGGACCAGATAGTCTCGCGGATCTTAGCCCAACCAAGTACCGGAAATAGAGAGGCACCAAAAGTCGACCTCGAGCTATGTAGCAGCAAAGATCACGAACAGGTCTTTAGTGTTACAGTACTGCATGTAGCGTACTATATATTTTGTGGAACAAACACGATTTGAATCACAACTGATGAGCTTTCCAGCGAGACGCCGGCATCCAGTCAGGTTGCATCTCGAGCTACGACTGAAACATCCGGGGAGTTAACGAAGCGATAGCTGCCGACCAAGCCAGACACGAACGCGAGCGAGCGAACGATCATGGACTGGATCTCTCCATAGCCGATGACAGAACACCAACAACGGGCATGAAGGACACTGGATCCGCACGCAGCCATCTCCGGCCCCTACTCTACTTTGACCAAGGCAATATGCGCTCATCAAGGAAAAAAAGATAACCAAATGATTACGCTAGAAACCACCACCAGATGACTTGGATGTTCCTTGATTCCTCGATGTGGACATTGTTCCTGTTTCGGCTCGAACGTGGGTCTTGTTGCTGCGCTGCATCTAGTAAAGGTGGTCATCCTGGGGCATGACGCAAGAGAGCAGGACGGCCGGTCCGCTGTCACAGTTGTGCCTACGTGCCGGGGATGTGTGCCTGGTCCCACAAAGTCTAGAGTGGTTAGCGGTTAGACTGGGTTCCATCAAATCCTTGTAATCAGGCAGGCGTAGGTGCTTCAAAACATCTTGGCGGGGTAAACAAACTGAATGGCAGCAACCGAGGTTCAGTTCAAGTATGATTTGCAGCTATTGAGTAGGCTAACGCAAGAGTAAGCTCAACTTGGAAAGATTTGCCAGAAGGGTAAAGCCCCGGTTAGTGTACCAAACTGTCGGGACACAACGGCGGTGGCGATTCGACCTTTACTATGGTAGCAGGCTCAAAAAGGGCATGTGGGGCAAGTACCACGCTATGCCTGAATTTGCCTTTCAATGGCAGATCCTTATCAAATGAGAGCATCTAATATCTACGCGTCAAAACAGAACGTCGAACCAAAACACGAATTCTAGCATAATCGTAACAAGACTTATCGCATTTTCAAGCCTTCTTTTCGAGAATGACGGGCCATTTGACCACCGAACAGCAGTATCGCTGCCGAACGCTCCGATTCGATGCCGATATGAAAATCGAAGATATCGTTAAGATAACTGGGTATTCGTTAAAACAGGTCCGGTTCGCGTTAGCTGAGGATCCGAAGGAGACGCAAGAAAAGCTCGCACTAAAGAAGAGGGAAGGTAAAGGTCGTGTTAGGAAACAGAAGATATCGAAAGAACAAGAACAACAGCTTATTGAGTATGTAACCTCTTCGAATGCTGGTCGTCGATCTACATTTCTACAGCTCTCAGTTGTGCTATTTAATACGGTTTTCGGAGTATACGCTATACGTTCTACTTTACGCCGGCTTGGATTTCGTCGTTGTATAGCTCGCCGTAAGCCACCGCTAACTGAGAAGCATAACGAACGACGACGAGCTTGGGCTGAAGAACATCGCCATTGGACTTGGGACCAATGGTGCCACGTATTATGGTCTGATGAAACCTGGATAACTGGTGGCCACCATCGTCGTCAATGGGTTACTCGAAGGCCTGGGGAAGAATTCGACGATACTTGTGTTATCGAACGAATCCAGCGTAAACAAGGCTGGATGTTTTTCGGCAGTTTCTCAGGCTACGGTAAAGGACCAGCCATTTTCTGGGAAAAGGACTGGGGAGTATTACAGCAGAGACTTATCAGTCCCGTACATGTCCTCTTATTAGAGACTATATCCATTCGTATTGGGCTCGTGGTACACCCCTTATATTTATGCAAGTCGGAGCGCCTTCACATCATGCGAAGACTACGAGAGCATGGCTTGATGAACACGGGCTTACGACCATGGAGTGGCCAGCATTATCCCCAGATCTTAATCCAATTGAAGCCGTATGGAACTGGATGAAAGACTATATCGAGGATAAATGGGGACTTGAGGAGAGGACCAAGGTCCCACAGCTTCGTGATTACGTAAACGAAGCCTGGGCTGCTGTACCCGATGAATTTCTACGCGAATTGTTGATATCAATGCCAGCTCGTTGTCAAGCTGTCATTGATGCCAAAGGAGGGCATACCAAGTACTAGAGTGGGCAGGTACCGCCGGCCAATCTCGTCAACACCGTCGAAATTGCAGATCAGACTGATGACGGCAGCCGCTTGCACTGTCGTTATTGATTCTGGCGTATCCCAAGTAAAAGCACAATCACTTATAGGACTGAGGCGGTATGGTAAAGGAAAGATTTGGATGGCTCAGACTTGACGTACAGTCCAAATATTTAATTGATTTAAAAATGAAGCCCAACGATCGCCATAAGTCGGCCATAAGCGAGGCCCAGTTACGGTGCAGGAAATATCGTGCCCCCCATTTAGCGCTCTTATGCATTTATCCAGCATGACGGATCAAATCACTCCGGAACAGTTCGAGCTCTATCTAATCTTCTCCTGAATATCTGCAACCCATCTGTGTAGCAATGACCCAGCCAACTTTTCGATGCAAATGCGAAGCCACGTTTAAGAATGACAAACTCCTGGGGAAACACGTTAACGATGAACAGCTTGAAGTTCGCTCGCTCTGCTTTAATGATGAGAATTGCAGTGAACGGGACGCGAAGAGTGGCCAGCAGGACTTTTATGATCCTACACTTGTTGGCATGGAGCCTTCCGATTTCGTACTTGAGTAGGGATACTATATTATTAGAAGAAGAAGAAAGGATGCAAGTTTCCATGTTACTTGAGCTTGTGCTATTGTACATATCATGGCGCTACCGAGAAGGTCTGGAGGAGAGTACGGTTGGCCTCTTCGAGAGTCAAGAAAGTTCCGCAATCTATGGATGCGGGAGCATGACCAGCTCGGTCGACAAAGGCTTCTACTTGGAAGTTGTATCCGCAGTCAGGGTAGACGTCCATCCACATACGCGTGTTTCGGAAGATCTGGTCGGTCATGATCATAGGATAATGGATTTTCACACGACCGTGGGGCGTTTCTAGACTGACGGGTGTAGAAGAAGGTTCGAACCGACGTTGTATTGTCGGGAATGTCGGGGGTGCAGTTGGAGATGTCTGTGGTATTGCTGAGATTGGCCGTGGTGTTGCAGAAGGCAAAGAGGGCCTCGTCATAGGTCGCAAGGACGACCGACGTAAACTTGTGGTTGGCGATGCTTGAGCTCTTGCCAGGGCTTGTCTCCTTAATTCGGAAATTCTGGAGTTGATGATCGGACCGTGTCTGGTCCAAGAAGCCATAGAAGGGACACGCGAGTGTGACAGCGCAGCAGACGGCCTAGCTGTTGACACTGAGCTTGAGTGGAACGAGGGCACTGGAACCTCTTTTGATACGTTGCCGTTCAGCATGGGTACTGTTGGTCGTATTGATGACATATTAGAGTGGCGGTCACCCGCTTGCTGAGTATTGTCTTATGGGGAAACCAAATTGTCCGTTCTGTTTACAGCTCGATCTTCAGGTCGATCGCCCGGCTCTGTTTTGGTGGTGAGTCTTGCAGCGATCGGCGATTGAGCACGTGCTATATTGTAGCACATCGTGTATGCTTCGCTAAGGCGTGTGGGATGACGTGTCCATGACCTAGATATCGGCGAGCGGGCGGCGCGGCTTCGCTGCCAATGTTACATTTATGGCTACCTCAACTCCGCGGGCTAGAGAGGTTATCCTGTCAGACTGTTAGAGGTAGCATCATACGGTTATCGTTGGTTCCGCTGAAGCCCGTTGCCCTGGTACCGCGATGCTCTTTAGAAAATAGCGGCAAGTCCTATGCAGAGGCCTGTAGTTTGATGTCAAATTGCCTAGCATGTGTAGGAAAGACAAACTGCTCCAGTGTTATTGTCGGTGCTATCACGGTCACGGGTGCCTTTGGGGCACTCATGATGCTGGTTGCACGGCGGCTGCAGCGGAAACGATTGAAACAGAAGACGAAAAGATTTAGACCTGATTCCAGGTTCTCACGCGCATCCAACGCACCATCAGCACATAGCTCAGGCACAAGTAGGCGCCGTCTTCTGGGCGATGCTGTGAATAGTATCACCGCAACACCACCTCGTTCCATCGAGATAGTTTCATTGCAGGACCAATCGCATCTGAGAGATCCCTTGGGTGGAGATGACCTCTTTGCCAAAGAGCAGGATATACCACGGAGGAAGAAGCAGCCCGATGAGTAACATGGCAGTGTAACGAGCTCAACTCTCAGCAAGGTTGGAAATGAGGGAGGTCGTTTGGATATAATTGGACGCCACCGACCTTTTTCTCACTGGCTTCCTTCTTCAAGTTACCCTTCCGACCTTATGTGCTTCTCAGTCCTGCCATCCATCTCATCTTTCCTTCAAACAACGCTAGCAACAATGACAAGAGCAATAATACGGATAAGGGTTGCTTGATCCTGTCTATTGGATTGACTTCAGCCGAACCGAGGAAGATAGTATGACAGCGGCCGGCCAGACAACATATCTCGAAGGCAGCGACAGCATGGTTGAGGTAGAAGGAGATACGAGCCCCTGTTTGCCATGGAGGGATAATCAGACTCCAGAGCACTTTTTCGACATCGCAGCTTATTTATTTTGACATGCAGTCAGAATCATCGGAACGTGTACCATACCACACATATTGTCAGTCGCTGTCATCTACGAACACTAAAGACGTTCAGAAAGAAGTATTGCACCACTCATCGCCCATGCTGGAACAAGATAGCACAGAGTTCGGCGACAGCCTCGACACGAACGACATCATGGCCTCGTCCCCCAAAAGCAGGGATGACCATCTGGCAGAGTTCACATCATGTGGATCGAATTTTGTTGGCAACGGCTTTCGTGTCGACTATTCTCAGGGCAGTCGGAAATGGAGAGCTTCAACGTTCACAAAACATTGTCACCCCTGCCAAGAGGGGTGCCGGGTCATATTCACTTGGAAAAGATTGAGTTCATGGTGGACAAAGTACTAAAGAATGGAACCGTGCAAGAAGTAATGTTGGAGCTAGACGCATCTGGTTGGGATGAAATGGAGCGCTTTACAAATGTATTTCGCAACGCAATATGGAGTTAGTCTGAATCGATGCGAATCCAACGTGCTCTATGTTCCGAACGCAGTGCTGCGAGTGATTACGGTGCACTCGGATAGTCTAATGGTCCGACTATCCACGCTTGACATTTGAAGAATCAGTAGGGAAGAGTACTAGCAAGTAATTCCAATGAATGCTCAAAGCATCGCCAGAATTGTCGATGGTATGAGGTTTCATGATCTATCTCGCGAGCATACCAGCTGGGAGAGGATCAGTCAAGGCATGAATATGGACAGGATCAACTTACGCAATCAAACCTCTGATACATATGGAGATCCGCATTCGTGAGTTCTCTCCGACAAGCACCACAATGCCCCTCATATAGCGTCGTATCCTTGGGTTAAAGGACTTATTCAATCTCATCGAAGGTGCTTTCCAGCACATCCAAGACCGCCAGGCTCAAATGCTCCACCACTTCTGTCGGCTGTTCTCTACCAAAGCCCCCAAGGACACCCTTCCATTACCCATCACGCTACTGTACAGTACCAGCATAACCAGGAAGAACCCATCCATGTGGTTGCCTACCAGCATACTCATTAGACCACCGGATGTTACTGTACTGTACGACACTGCACCATTTCGTCTAAGGACCAAAAAGGGATGCAGCACAGTACCCCATCCAAGCCGTGGCCAAATATGTACCAACCAGCGAGCATGAAATGGAACAATGGCGGGGTGGGCAGCAGAGGTACAAACGACTCTTGTATTGGCCGAAGCTGCGTCGCTATTGATGTTCGAGCGCTCTGCGACCCATTTACGTACAGTACCTGGATCAGACTGATCATCGTAGAGTTCCACATGACGGTACAGACAAGATCAAAACCGGCTTCCTCCTTTTGTCTCTCTCTTTTCTTCTCTAAGCACAGACAATCTATTTTTGGCTCTGACCTCTACGTATACCCTAAGTAATCTTTTAAACCGTATCAATTCTGATTCTAAGAGTGTGGGCTTTAACTAGGCTCTTTCGCACTTATTCATACACCCACTGCTACTGTACACATCAATTGTACATTATCGAAGATAGACTTTGGGCACCGAATATATGCGTTCAGGGCTGAAAAGGGCATAATTTCAAGTTCCATGGTACGACAAAGGTGCAAAAGTGTACTTCCGAGTGGGAGCTAGAACTGGACTGTCCATGCTCAAAGAGCAGAGAAGAGAGAGAACGAGAGGAAGCCGATTTTGATTCTGTCTGTAGGAGTCCAAAACTGAGAGTACATGACACCTGCCATCTTTTTTTCCAGAATCGGACCGGCAGGTCCAGATGCAACTCTAGCCAAAACACAAAAGACCATAGCTCGGTCACATGAATCATATGAATCACATGACTCGATCCACCCAGACTCATCTATATAAGCTTGTCCTCGCCCAGATTGTCTTGAACTTTTCTTTCCTTTCTTCTTCACACTCGTGTCCATCTGGCAGTTAACCATGCCCTACCAGATGTAAAACTCTCTTCGCTGTGGCAGGTCAGCGTTACCAACCGCTTCCCCCGGACATGATTGCTGGGATGAACTCCGCTGTGGCAGGTCAGCGTTACGAACCGCTTCCCCCGGACATAAGTGCTGGGATGAACTCCGCTGTGGCAGGTCAGCGTTGCCAACCGCTTCCCCCGGACATAATTGCTGGGATGAACTCCGCTGTGGCAGGTCAGCGTTACCAACCGCTTCCCCCGGACATAATCGCTGGGATGAGGTCGGCGAAGACGGATTCTGCAACCTGTACGTGGTGCCGGCTACGAACCTGCTCCAAACGGAGCAGAGCCGATGCAGAGACGCAATTCCTGGATCTTGGCCCATGGCCTACGTGCATACAGTTGAAATGTCCATAATCTGCCTTTCGCAAGCTCCATGTGTTTTTGTTCAACCTCATTATGTAGAAATCAAATGAGTGCCGCATGTGGCTGGCCAGATCAATAGCCGTAACATTTGCGCTCTCTCAGTAATGCGAGCAATTAGATGTCGTTGTGACTATATGCGCCTGCGTCCGCTTCGTTGGTTCCAACGATTGCGTTAAAGAGACTGTCTGCATTATCATCATTTGAAGGCTGTCCATTGCGTGTTTTACTTATCTATCCTGAAATTATGAGACTGTCATATTGAGGACATGACCCATTTTTAATGACCAATCACCACTGTATCGCCTTCTACAACAACAATAACGATAACATGAATCAAGTGAAGATCGAGATGAAATACTAGAGATATCAGAGTCGTGTATCGTATGTACCTGTCTAAATGGGAAGTGACCGGCCATAGATATTTGGCAAAAGATATCTACATTAGTTTCACCAATGCAACATTGCTTATGATCGTAGCAGGTCGACAGTGTGTTCGAAACTTAGCTAAGTGAGATGAAAAAATACAGCCTTGGGACCATTGTTGTAGTGTCAGCTAGAGGAGTCATGGCAAAATTGGCATTGGTATATCCAGATTTCCCAGAATGGAGGCTTGCATCAAAAGCAAAGACATACTTGGAAGCATTAAAGAGAAGGAAGGAGCTACAAAGAGAAATCAGGGATGTTCTGCAATTAGAGATTGGACACGTACCTGTCGACAAGTATCTGAAGATACTTTCACGATACAGCGTAATGATGAATAGAACTTGTGTTTTATTGTTGTTGTTGCGTAGATCAACGATTGACAGGGCCGGGTGAAGCTCGGCATAACTCCCAAAGTAGCTGCCTAGCAACGTCACTTCACTATTTACTCGCTCCCAACTGCAGTAATTAGCGTCAAATGCTTATCATGGGAGAAAGACATACTGAATAAACGCGATAGACTTTGTTTCATTTCAGTGAGTTCAATGGCATTCGCAACTACAAACAACTCGATATGAATACGTACCAGACAAACGACCTGTTGAGACGTCTCGAAGAGGCCGAGCGGCGCGCTGACGAGGCCGAACGTGAACAACGCGACGAGAAGCGACGTGCTGATGAAGCCGAACGTGAACGACGCGATGAGAAGCGACGTGCTGATGAAGCCGAACGTGAACGACGCGATGAGAAGCGACGTGCTGATGAAGCCGAGAAACGACAAGAAGAGGCTGAACTGTTGACGCGACGGACAACTTTGGACGAATACATTGCCGCAACTCATGACCTCGTAGCCAGCCACTTCGCCGTCGAGACCGACAAGGACCTCACCTCGAAGGGCCCCATCACAAACCCACGCAACAAGCTGTGTCCAAAGAATCTACGCCCATGGCCCGACTTTCTCGAGCAGCAGCGAACCACTCTAGGGGCCCTCTACGGCACCTTCCCGGTCTCTGATCGGCGTTTCGAATCTCGGGGCTTTTTGACGGGCCTCGGCCAGCGAATTGCCAAGCGACCGATATCTTGCGAAAAGACGCTCGAATACTTCCTGCACAATAGCGTCGAAGATCCAGTGCGAGAGATTTTCGATCAATTGCGGGATGTGGACCAAGTGCGGCACGAGTTTGGGATCGGTAACGGCATTGTCTTTGAGAACCACCCCAATGTGATCAGCGATGTTGCGGAGGAGGTTGTCGACCGGCAGGCCTCATCGATACCGCCACAGACGCCCGATCAAGGGAAAGATCCGGGACGCATCCGCCCCGACCAGATATGCGTATACCGGTTTGACGACGAGCTCTCCACACGGCGTACCATGCTGTATGTGTCCGAATACAAGGCCCCGCACAAGCTGACCGCTCCACACCTGCGCGTCGGTCTGCATCCCATGAATATCTTCAAAGACGTGGTCAATCGGAAAACAATACCTACCGCGGCCGATCCCGACGGTCGATTCCAGTACCATGCCGAGAGGCTCACCGCTGCGGCCATCACACAGACCTACAACTACATGATCGAGGGAGGTCTCGAGTACGGGTTGCTGACTACCGGCGAGACCATTGTATTCCTGCGAGTAGACTGGCGAGAACCCGGCACACTCTTGTACCATCTAGCAGAGCCCGCTTTTGAGGTGGCAGCGCAATCGGGGGAACACCACGCTTGCACCGCAGTTGGCCAGTACCTGGCATTCAGCCTGATGGCTCTCGGCCCGCCAGGGAACCCACCCAATGTTCGATCGCAGGATGAGCGGCAGCGTGTGATCTTGGGGCTGAGGCGATGGGCAGAGGACTTTGAGACGACATTACGATCTATTCCCCGAGACGAGCGATACGCTCCGAGCGGCTCAAGCTCGGGCTCGCTGTATGCGCCGACGACTTATGCAGGCATCAGCCGGTCACCGCGCGTGCCTCGAACAAGACCGAAACGTTGGGCTCAGGAAGAGGACCGTCCAGGTGTGCAGCCAAGATTTGGAGACCGGGACGACGAGTCTTCGTCGGATGAGTCCTTGCCTCCGATGCCGGACACGCCGACACCGTCTGAGCCGCGGTCGAGTAGTCAGAGCCAAGGCCCACGGCGCAGCCAGCGCATTCTGGGCCGAGCGCCGCGCGGGGAAGCTTCACAAGAGCGACAGTACTGCACACAGCGATGTCTTCTAGGACTGGTCAGAAGAGGTCGGCTTGACGCAAAGTGTCCCAACGTTCTCTTGCACCGGCAGGCTAACCTTGCAGCTGCTGATCATCTGATCGATCGTGACGAGTTCCTCCGGCTCCTATTTCAGCAGCTGCAGGAGTCTCTTGACCACGGGATCAGTCGTCTAGATGTAGGCGGATCTCGCGGCGTGCTGTTCAAAGTAAGTCTGATGGCCTACGGCTACACTTTCGTCGCCAAGGGCACGGTATCTGCTTTCATTCGCGACCTAGAACACGAAACAGCCATCTACAAACACCTCGAAGGACTTCAGGGGTCTCAGGTGCCGGTCTGCCTGGGCGCGATAGATCTTCGCGACATGGGCAGGATTTATTACTACGACCATCGGGTCTACATCGAATACCTGTTGCTTCTCTCGCATGGCAGTCCGATTGACGAAGCGGTTCGTGCTGGTGAGGTCAAACGTTGTCTGAGGGCGATACATCGGGCGTGCGTGGTGCATCGGGATGTGCGTCGTACCAATGTGCTACGCAATACCGACACAGGGGAGCTCATGCTGATTGACTTTGAGCGTTCTGTCGTCAAGGGACGGAAGCCGCTGGGCAATATCGTGCCTAACAAGCGATCGTGGAATGGGCAAAGGAAGGGGACTACGGCGTCAATGTACAGTCATGTTCCGGGAGACGCCAATTACGAAGAAGATATACTGCAGGCAGGGGTGGAGTTCCCTGAGAAAGACGTCTTTGCAGTGCCCGCGGCATGTGCCTACAAGCCACGAAAGACGCATGTCGCTGCTGGCATGGCTGCTTCATTCAAAACTGTACCCACGTCTGGATGATACAGGAACATTTCATGTTTGCGTCAAAGCAAAGACGATGCATAACGTAGCATACGGTCCATCTGCAACATCAAAAGGCGGCGTCCACTGGTACTTGAGTGCCTAAATTGGCTAGGAGCGCCGGCTCTTTGCCCATTCCCACTGTCTGGACTCCATCATCGGCAAAACACTACTGCCTTGTGCTGCGGAGTTTTTCGCAGCCTGCAGTGAACAGGCCCCAGTTGAAACCGTCCGGGAATCTACGTCAATGACGCTGAAGACTACGCCTGAGAAGGTAAATTCAGCATGGATCATGGATTTTTGCGTGTAGCCATTGGTTGACGTAGAGTAGGGTCAGAGTACGAGATACAAAGAATTGGTACCAAAGCTTGTCTTCCAGAGCTATGCCGTATTAGGGTACCAGAGTCCAGTACCCTAAAACGACTTTGATCTATCAATAAAAAGGGTACTGTTGCGATTCACAAGAGGCCCAATATAAAGTAGTATCGAAGAAACGCTAACTGCATCCGTTGCAGCCAGGTACATTAGATCTTGGTGAAATATATGAAAATCATACTAAGTGAGGCTGTCAAATGGGCACGCTATAACAAGAGAGTCATTGTGGTGCCTGTGAGGTGGCGCAATGCACGAAATAATTGCCTTGTTGCCTGCCGATTGCCTTGGCGAACCATCTTGCAGACCAATCAAATTATTCATAAGGGATGCCCGTTCGTTGACGACTTGGTCAGGCCTAACCTTTCTGTTCGATGTTTATCATATTTCTTTTAAATGGCGACCTTTGAAACATCGAAAGACTCCAACAACTGCAATGGTGAGGTTCGGGATGACGCTGTCATTTTACTGGCTAAAAACCTCCCGTGTGATGTTGAAGACTGCCGTGCCGCATTCGACCTTTCTGACCATAACGCATTTCGACGCAATCCCCGAGGTTCGAGAGCACAGCCTATTATGCACACTGATGATTTTCTCTTCATCAACAACAACAACACACACGCGCACGCCAAGTTTGAGCAGTCTGCTGATGAAGAGGAGATATACCAGGCTCCGACTCCTTTGATAAAACAACTTAAGGCTAAGCCAATCTCTGAGGAGCAATTGGCGGCTGAAGTCGCTGGTATCTACGCCGGTCTTATCATGGTCGAAGATAAATGCATCGAAGTTGACGACGCTCAATCCTTATCCTCACCGACCGAGACTAAGCTGCATAACCAGCAGTGGCAAGCATTGATCGCCCTGCACAGAACATTGCTACATGAATACTACGACTTCTTGTTAGCTTCACAGCATCCGTCCGCCAGTCCTGGCCTACGACGCATGGCTTCTGAGTATCATATGCCAACAAGGATATGGTGCCGCGGGATTCATCCGTTGTTAGAGCTACTTAGGCGGCGGCTTCCTGAATCTGAAGAGCATATGTTAACATATATCTTCCTCGCATATAACATTATGACACTACTTTACGAAACAGTACCTGCGTTTCAAGACACATGGGTAAAGTACTTGGACAACTTGGCAAGATATAGGATGGCTATTGAAGACGACTGCCTGGAAATGGAAGTTTGGACATCAGTTTCTCGAGATTGGTATTTCAGGGCGTCGGACAAGGCGCTGACCACTGGTGGGCCATATCACCATCTTGCGATCGTGACGACACACAACAATGCTTCACAACGACTATTTAACTACTCAAAGAGCATACATGTACCAACCACTTTTTCGTCAACAAAAGAATATCTCATGACGATTTTCAATCCGATCTGGGCTTGCCTCGGGAAGCGACGTCTACGAGACAGACGAAGGGATCATTCATGGTGTGAGATGAAAAATGAAAAGTCGTTCTCTGTTGTCAATGGTCATTTGGCATACGATAGAAATTCAGCTTTTTATGAAAAAGGCAAAGGCGGGGACAGGAACCACAACATAGGCTCCGTCTATTTGTGACAGTCCTCCACTCCATCCAGATGGTACGATGCGAAGTAGTCGTCCGCGGTCGCCCGTATGGCGCAGTGTTAAGTGCGCCTGGCAGTGCTCTCGTTGTTGCGGTGGGCGACGAGAGCAAGCGGGCTCGAATCCCGCTACGGTCCCCTTAACCCGGCTTGTGCCAGTCGTCAACAGGCACACACAGTGAGATGGGCTCGTAGAGATTGCGAGATCTCTTTACTGTGACGATTATACTATCGGGTTGCAAAACCACAACTATTATGACAGGCTGGGTGTATGCTAATAAGATATGCTAACCACGAATAGAAGACTATAGAAATAGACCTTTACAAATATACTGAGCAAAGATATTCACAAGTGTAGTCGTCAGAGCTTGAGCTCACCTATGGGTAAGATAGATGCTTAAATTGATCACTGAAGTAATGCCTGTCTATGTAGAGTAGGAAATCCAATCCTTGGTAAATACATTCATTCCTTCACTGATGTTGACTGGATTATACCATCGAGTATAATCCTTTTTCTGGGATCTCATGAATGATAATGATCCCAGTGATCCCGAGGCTAGGATCATTGCCAAGGCTGTGACCTTTTCTTGCCACCGTCGGCGGCTGTCTTCCCCACCGTCATGGGCCTTGCCCTTCTTGGTCCGTGGGGTCCTGTCGTACTTAGTCGCCGTCATTTCTCTCCTGCGCTGGCAAGGGTCTTGTTTGTTCGTAACATTTATATAGCTGCCAGGACGCACAGTACCATTGTGGGTGTTATAATATTAATACACGTTCGTTTACGTTAAGTATTAAAATAACATGTATCAATACTTTGAAAACTAGCCCCGTCTTTTATTAATACTCCACCTCTCCTCCATTCTCCATCCTCCAATCTTTATCCTTTATCCTCCATCTTTAATCCTCCATCTTCAATCCTCAATCCTCAGTCTTCAACCATCAATCCTCAGTCTTCAACCATCAATCCTCAGTCTTCAGTCTACAATCCTCAATCTTCAGTCTTCAATCATTAGTCATCAGTCTTTAGTCATCAATCTTCAGTCTTCAGTCATCAATCCTCAGTCTTCAATCCTCAGTCTTCAATTCTCAATCCTCAGTCTTCAGTCTACAGTCTTCAGTCTTTAGTCATCAATCCTCAGTCTTCAGTCTACAGTCTTCAGTCGATTGATTGATTGATTGATTGTATTTAACGTGGGGACCGTCCCTTACTAGGGCAAACCACGCCTCCCAGAGCCATACATCGCAGGGTTTTGGAGGTATCAGTATCTACATACATTCCAGCCTGCGCACGTGCCAGTCCACGCTATTGCAGGACCTGAGTGAGAACACTCACTCAGTCCGTCAATTCAAACGGCCCTTCATCTCGGGCATGTCCTTGTGAAAAAGTTACTCCTCTCTACAAAACGCGCCCACTGCGCACTCTTCTCCCCCAAATATTGTGTATAAGCCGCCCTTGGCGTGTGCCTCGGGAGCAGTCGGTGTCCTTGCAATTTCCTACAGAAGAAAATATGCTCTGGTGTCTTTCTCTCTCCGCAACTGCAGTGGTTATTGGAGTCCGTATGCCCGAATCGTTCATGATATGCTGCAAAGTCGCCGTGGCCAGATCTTGCCGCCAGGAGCCTGTGCAGCGTAGCCCTTTTGAATGAGACGAGGTTCTTTGACACCGCCGCATATGAATGCACATCTTCATATCTGGCTTCGTCTTGCGCCGCCCACCAGCGGGCAAAATCGTCTTTTCTCTTTCCTTTGAGATGTCGCCGTACCCATGCAACCGTAGGCAGACTGTCTATCCTCGTCTCGAGCATTGCGCCTTCCTTGGCAAGTTTATCAGCAGCTTCGTTTCCTTCGATGTCTTGATGTCCCGGGATCCACTTGACCGTCACCCCAGGACTGTGCCCTGATGCAAGCTCCTGGAAACGTAGAAAGATGGCTTGCGACGATTCCGGTGGTGATCCATTTAGCCCGTCCACCACGGATGTGTTGTCCAGACAGACAAACAGTCGTTTATTCGGCCCGATCGTCCTCGCCGCTGCGAGTCCCTGCAACGCTCCGTGCACTTCGGCGTCGAAGACCTCTGCCCGGTGCAGCCTGCCTCGGTTTCGGTACACTTCTTCGGTGGTACCGCCTTTCCTAATGGTAAACCCCCAGCCTGTGCGCTTGTGTCCCTTTTCCTGTAACTGCGAGCCGTCCGAGTACACGATCAGCTCTTCTTCCTCATTTCTCTCCCGGAGCCATTCTTTGAGCAGCTCAGCTTCTCCATCCTTGCCTCCCCGATGTGGTGGTTTCTTGAAAGATGGCCGGACCAATTCTGGCCTCGGAAATATGGGGACTAGCTGATGGCATCTCTGGAGTCTTGTGGGGTCCTTTCGCGCTTGTAGTGGCAGCCGCCGCACTAGTGGATGCTCTTTGTCGACCCGCCCAAGCCGGAAACCGTGGCGTCGGCGGATGGACTCTGCCAGTATCTCAGCCGGCGGCATCTGCGACTCGAAATGCAGAATATGGCTTGGGTGCGTTCTCCACACAGGCAGAATGGCTCTCATTGCCGTTCGTAGAACGGACTGCATCTGCTGGAGCTGTTTCTTGACACGGCATGACGAAGTCGTGTTATCCTGCCTCGTCCTTTCCCGTCCTGGGTACCAGACCTCAAGGCCGTGCGTGAGGACCGGGATCACACAGGACGTGACGGCTTTCCTTGTCGACGCTACCGGAAGACCTCTGACGGTGTTGCATAGACTGCGGATGTGGTTCGCCACTCGGCTTGCCTTGCCCGTCCAGTGCTTGACATGGTCTCTGAAAGTCAGTTTCCTGTCGAGGAATACTCCAAGCCAGCGCATCGAAGGCTCTGCCCTCTTTCGGGCGGTGCCATGGGTGACGATAGGATTGTTGGTGTCTCTTTTCCTGGAAAAGTGCATAATCTCGGTCTTGGCAGGGTCAAATTCCACGCCATTGTCTTGTCCCCAGTCGATGAGCTCTCTCAGTTGTTCTGTCGCCTCGACGGCCGTTTCTTGGAGTGTCGTCCCGACGTTGAGGATCCCAATGTCGTCTGCATATCCAAATCGCCGCCGTCTTGTACCCAGTTTTCCGCAGATGGGTTCCGTGTAGAGCATGTACAGTATGGGAGACGTTGGTGAGCCTTGTGGCAGACCGCAGTGGAGCGGTTCGACCTCGGTCAGGGTATCCTCAAACCGCACCCTGGCAGAACGCTCTGTCATAAACGACTCTGTCCATCTGATCAGAAAGTGGGGCCAACCCTGCTCCCTCATCCGCACAACCAGTCGACCCACGAGGGCTGCATCGAAGGCACCTTTGACGTCCGCTGTTACTAGTGTGGCAACTAAGCCTTGGTCGAGAGCTTGTTCAATATCATGGACGAGTGCTGCTACTAGATCGGTCGCTGCACGCTTCGGCAAGGCCCCGAAGTGTTGTGGTGCCAAGATGCCGCGTTCAATCACTGTCCATGCTAGCCTTTTGCCGACTAGTCTTTCAAGCCCCTTCCCAAGACATGATAGGAGAGAGATGGGCCGATAGGTCCTGGGGTCAGAGTAGTCCTTCTTCCCTGGCTTGGGGATCATGACCACCTCGGCTACCTTGAATGGCTTCGGGTGGTACCCGACCATCAAGCACCTTTGAAAGAGGTCCGTTACATGCTTCCCAATGATAGGCCAGCATGCCTTGAGTATCTTCACGGTAAGACCATCCACCCCAGGCGAGGTGCTGCTAACCCCGACCGTGCATGCCTCGGCCTCCTCTAGCGATACGTGCTTTTCGAAGGGGATGGGTGTCCGCTGTCGCACTGGAACTGACCAAGGATTGGGAATGTCGTTTTCCCCGTTGTTTCGCTCTAGCGTGGCCCTTCGCAGTGCGTTCGCCTTGTCTAGCTGTGTCTCAAAGATTCTGTTACCGGTTATGATCGGGGGCGCGCTCAGACCTGCTGTCATCTTGTGCCAGGATATGATTTTGAACAGATCACTCGGGCTTTTGGCTCCGTCAATCACACCCCGCCAATACTCCCTCTTAGCCTTCCTCACAACCTGGCGGAAAACTTTCCTTGCGGTTTTCTTGTCCCCTTGACTCGTATTACTTTTTGCTGCGTTTCTGTATTCTTCAACCGCGGTTCTGCATTCATCATTCCACCAAACCGTAGATCGGAATCGTGACGTCCTCCGACCAGCTATTTTGATGCAGCTAGAGATAATCTCACCCAGGGTCTGAGCGTAGCCGTCTAGCTCCTCCCCAGTATAACCTAGCGATGGAAGTTCGTGCAGCCTGTCATGGACCATTTCCACCAGCTCAGGTATGTTGTCAACTGGTACGGTCCATCTACATGGCCTTGTCACCCGTTCCAGATCCCTAGAAATTGGTACCACGACCCGGAGTGTTTCATGGTCCGACGTCGAGTGGAGTGCCTCGCTGACTGCCGCCTCTGCCATTGGAATGTCGGAGAACACCAGGTCCAATACATGGCCATCGTCGTGCGTCGGCACATCGGGCTCGGAGATCAAGTCTAGGCCATGTGCAGACATGATGTTACCCAGCATCTCCCCTCCATGGTAGTTATGGTTACCCGATTCCCAAGAGGCGTCGCCGGCATTAAAGTCGCCCGCAACGACACATCCAGACGGTGGAATCCACTCTTCCAAAATCCTGTCGACTTGCTGCGGGTCTGTGGTTGACCTGTATACGCTAACAAAAGTAATACCTCGCACCTTGACCCACGTCACGTCCCTGGTCTGGTAAGGCCGGAGCTGTTGGGCTTGAAGGTGCTTCCTCACATAGACCAGCGACCTCGGCCGCGTTGTATCACTGTCCCAGTTATCTACCGGGGAAAACACGTTGTAGTTGGGATGCGCCTTGACCATCATTCTCCTGCCTGGTGGGACGCCGATCCACGGCTCCTGCATCAGAATAATGTCCGCCCTCTCTCCTTCGTAGTCGGCCAGGTTAAGAGCTAGTTCAGTCGGATCAATGCTCCTCTGCCCCCCTGCCGCATTCACGCAGTGCACAACAAGGTGTCCGCGTCGTGTCTGTGTCTGATTCCTAGTTGCATTTACGGGCATACGATAATCGTCTCCTCATTGTTGTCCTGTTGGCTCTCGTGAGCCGTGCCTGTTTCATCTTCGACTTGCATCGCATCAGCGCTCTGCCTGTCATCCCTGGCTTCGGTCCTGCCGCTTCCTGGAGCGACAGTACTCTCTTTTGCAGAGCTAAATGCCTGAGACCTCGCACGGTCGCCTGCCTGCCTTATCTCGCGTAATTGCTCCGCGCCTGGTCTGCGAATAATTCCTTTCACCACTTTCGGCCGTGCCGGGCACTTCTCAAAAGTGGCAGCATGCGGGCCGTGACAGTTGACGCATTTGGGGATTGGCTTGCTACAGTTGCCTTCGTGCACTGGTTTGGCACAGGTTCCGCAAATTATCTTTCCACAACGGTAATTTCTGCCATGAAAGGAGAAGCAATCTCCACACTGGGGAACTCGGGGTTCCCGGCGTAGACGGTACGACGTCATGGAGTGTGCAAAGAGCCTGAATGGCCGATTGATTTCCCCCGTAAAGGAGACGAGCCAGTCTGTCTCTGCGTCACCATCAGATGTATGCTTAGACAAGACACACCTCACAGGCCTTACGCCTGTCTGAAGTTCTGCCTCGTTGGCAACAGCCGTTTCGTCGATCTCGACTGTAAGCCCCTCCGCTGTCATGACTTTTCGTGGACAGCCCCGCAGCTTGTAGTGGTGCCACACGACATGTTCTTCAATTTTCTGTGCTTTGAGAATGTCGATAATCTCGCTCTGGAGGGCCAGGAGTTTTGCCTGGGTTGGCTTGTCCCGTGGGTGCAGCGTAAAGCCGGAAGCGCACCGGGTCACCTCGCGGAGTTCCAGATAGTCGAGTCCGAGTCTTCGCACGAGGGTGGACTTGACGCCATATGGTTCGAGTCGGGAGTTATCCATGCGCACAAATATGCGGTTGTCTTCTTGCTCCTTGCGGCGTGGCCGGTCCGTACGGTCCATGCGGTCCATGCCTCTTTCATCAGCTGCTGTATTTCGCTGAGCTCTGTGCGATGGAGCCGAAGTGTTCTTCGAGGCAGCTACTTGGGCGTAGGATGGTTTGACATGTTCTCCTGTCGGCGCTGCAGCATTGGCCTTCCGCCGTGCCGACCTATGTTCTGTAAGCCAATCATCGAGGCGGTTAGCGAAGAAGGAGCAGAACTCCATTGCATCGAGGTAAAGGTCGGTGCCTGCTTTTTGGAGGACTTGATCAATTGCATGCGCACAGTCCTGAAACAGCTTTATCTTTTCTTGCTGGATGCGCAGGTCGCGTTCAAGAACTGCAGCGACCTGATTCTGACAGTTGCCAGGGCTCGTTCTGCGCTCATCATCGTCGGCAGTGTATCTTCTGTCGTTGACTTCAACGGTGATGTCTTCAATCCGTGGTCGCTTAGCTCCGATGATGCTGTTGATCTTGCCAGTACCGCCTCTGGTGTTGAGGGGGGAGGATGGTGTGTAGTCGGTTTCAGTAACCTGTGACGGGCTGCTAGCAATGTCGCTAAGTAGGACTTGGCGGAGCCTGCTCGGGGTAGTGGGGCCGCATGGCTTCCTTGGGGTGCGAGGGAGAGAGGCTCCATCGCTTATAGTCCCCGGGCTGGAAGCGGGTGTGCCAGGCGGCTGGTCTATAGGGGTTGTCATTCAGGTCAAAAAGAATTTTTCGAATGCCAAGAGATATTAAGGGTGTACTCCAGTGGTGCCACTAAACTAGCGTAGTTGCCTTGTCACGCCCTAACAGCGGGGCGCCAAGAAAAATAGTTGTAAAAGTTCGTTGATAGATATAGATAGATTCCCCACCCTGCCCTTGGCGCGTATTTCATTGCTCCGCTTACGACTGGACGCCGTCCACGACAACGTCAGAGGCATGTCACCGGGTACAAGATAGTCGTATATCATGATTCGAAGCTCTAGACAGAAATGAGCATGAAGGATTACGTTCGCAGGGAATACATACCTGGAGGAAGTGACAATAGGAGGTCTGGCGGTTGTTCTCCATTCTATAGCGACGATTTGATTGTGTACAATCATAACAGTTAAGACAGAAATGTTTTCTTACGACTCTACTTAGAAGAAAAAAAAACCGAAAAAAGAAAAGAAAACAAGTATTGATTCATTTATTGCTCATGGGTGGTCATGGGGGCAAGTGATCTTATATAAATATTCAACACGTTCGGGACTACACAGAGTGCTCGGAAGCCGCGAAATACGGCATGACTGTTACGCCGGTAAGTATGCCTTGAGGTTGACGGTAATTGTAGACTCTGCAGAAAGCACAACGACCAGCGCTATGGTGACACCAGTAAACGAATTATAGCCCTGACAAGATGCACCATTGTTCGACTGATTATTTCAGTATTTTCTTGAGTTACAGTCTGTTTGATGTCGCACTGAAGTTAAGTCCTCTAGTGCCACCCTATATTCTTGAAAAATACGGCCGTAGGATCGACGGATAGAGCACAGTTGCCTTCTTGCCAAGGGCGATGGTGTTACGGCAAAGTGATGGACCACTTCTGCGATCTTGATCTTCTCTCAGGAATACAGGGTCCTCGAGGAAGAAAAGTATGGTCGTATATCTCTCTGCTTTTTTGTCAGGTCTACCTTCCAGGTGTTTATTTTTGCCTGGCTGGTACATCCTGTCTGTTGTAATATATGCGCACTCATTGTAGTTGTGCCCATGGACTCTTCTCGTTCGATTACATAGAGACCCATCAGTCCGATGGACTCCAAATTCGACGCTTCCTCCGACAGAAAATGCGCTCCATCATCATCCAATTCTGCCTCACTCCTCCAGGCGTTCGGTCCAGTCTTGTGGCTATATCTTCCCAGCTCCGCTCTTGTTCCATCCCCGCTCGCAGAGTCTGCTCCTGTCGAGGACTCCAAGGCTTATGACACATGACACGTCGTCTCTTGGCCGGTCTTCCCCATGGCTCTCCGTCTACATAGTCTTGATCACTGGTGTGTCCCAAATGACCATCCTTCTCCCTGAGGTACAACGCATCATCAGAAGTGTGGTCCGTGTGACTTCGTGGAGGAGTGCAGACGGTTCTTCGGGATCTGTCGCTTGAAGAGGTGTTGTGTGGCCCGAACAAGGTCAAGCCGTCCCTGCTTCTTGCAGCAGCACCGCCATCAACTCGCTTTCTCCTCATCGTCATAGCATAGTCTCGGATTGCCCAGAGACTGATCCTCAGCATGGCCGCATTCTTCTCCTCCGAAAACACCGCATGACTATCATTGACTAACGTATTCCAGGCAATCTTGTCGTGTCGATGGAATTGCAGCGCTTTCTCACAGAGCTGTAATAGTTCATCGGTGCCGAAGCCGCATGTCGTGCATGATTTGTGCGCGATTCGCTCTCCCCGCTCTGTAAGCGCGGTGTTGCTCGACCCGGCTTGGAAGTCCTCTCCTCGATCCGTACTCGCAGCATGGTCCACAGTGCCGCGAGGAGGCTGTAAGCCTAGAACATCATGTCAGCGTCACTTTGTCTCTATTCAACCCAATATCAACGGTGTGAATGCCCTTACTTCTCAGGCTTGCCGATTCTTTCATCATGCCCCTTGTCACATTTCCTTCGTCAGCGAGTGGGGTTGGCGACAGCGACATGGAGGATGACTGCGAGCCGTTGGACTCTTCACTAACCAGACAGTGTATCGGGGAGTATGGAGGCTCTATGTTGCTGGCCTTGATGCTGATGGTCTCATCGTCAGTCAGAACGTCCGACAGGCTAGCTGTGTCGTTCGCCGTGCTGTCGCACCTCGTCCATGGAAGTCGCTGTTGCTCGTGACGAACGATCTGGGGTTGGGTTAGATTGGGAAAGTCACTTTTGGCTACGGTCTCGAATCTGCAACTTCCTTAGGGTTAGAAGGTTGTCTGCAGTCAGGCTTTCCGCGTCACCTACCATGGCTTTTGACCTCTGGCGGATTAGGCATTGATGTGGAGGGTATGGGGGAGACTGTTGGCATATCTGCTGAGATGCCAAGCGAGATATGATGTTCTCCTCCCCGATCATGCATTGATGTCGTTGTCATGCCTCTGTTCGTAACGCTGACCTGCCACAGCGGAGTTCACCCCAGCGATTATGTCCGGGGGAAGCGGTTGATAACGCTGGCCTGCCACAGCGAAGTTCATCCCATCACCTGTAATCTCATAAGAGACGTGCAATATACTGGCAAGTTTTGTTTGACCATTCGTGTTCCTTATACATGAAACACGTCCTCAAGGTCCATCATGTGCATTGTAAGACTCTATTCATTCCTAGGCTTATGGTCATGATTATATAGACACTTACGGATCATTACTAGAATGAGTTCAAGCTTCTAAGGCTTTGTTAAATCTTGAACCACTTTCAAGGAGTAAGGAAACGTTGCGGCAGTGAATTGTCCACACAAGTCACCAGCCAACAATTAAAACCTCCGCTTTATCCTCATATATATAATGGTGTGAACCTTTTCAACCCCTAGATGATGAGGGAAGGGTCGACCGTAGACGCCCGGGATCCCAACGCCCAATCGACGCTCTTCGACGGCGCGGACGAGGGTCATGTGACTTGTAAAGAACATCAACGGTGCCTTGCCGCTGAACTCGACCCGAGTGAAACTAATTTCGCTCTTTGGCTACTCCGCCAAGGCGCCTAACAAGAACAACCATGAAGAAGCCGCCACGGGAGCCTTCTTTGCCTCATGGTCCGTTGGTGCAGAGCCCGGCAACATTACCGCGTTAAACGACGGATTTTTCGGTAACTTGGCCCTACCCGAATCCGCCATACGTCCCAGAGAATGCAATGGCTCGCATTACAAAGCAATAGTAGTGTAAAAAGAACGAGGAGGCACAGGCAGAGGAAAAGAGACGGCCGATGTTTTGTCTTAGGTACTTCACACACGGATCCGTCCTGTAATAGCTCCTGACATATCAAGATCCTTGCAAGGTTCTTCATTGATCCTCATGCATCAAGTACTAGACTAGGCTCGACCATTCGAGGCCAGGCAGGAGAACACGGGCTAGAACGTTCAGGATACGTGGTGGTGGCATGAGTAGATGGAGACCTTGCACTTGTGGCTTGCATTGCGTCTATCCGGAGCACCCCTGCCCGCTGTGATGATATGAGCATTATGGACCAGGATAATCTCTCAATATCCATGAGTGGTGAGTGAAATACTCCGTTAAAGATGAAATGCTATTATACAGCACTAAGTCTAACCAAGTTCTCTCTATACTAAAGTGGCATACGAGATTCACTGGTGGCACAAGCTGCTCCCAAACACAACCTGTCACCTATCCTTCCTTATCCGTGGCAAAGCTGCGGAGGAATTCATGTGCTAATATCACTACAATGTCAATGTAGGGTTGCCTCAGATGGAGCGGCCTCAGACAATTGTCCATCCCTACCCAACAACGCGACATGACGCTAGTGTATTTTCACCATCAAAGAAACCGACTGGAGCTACAGCGCCGCATGGTGGTTAGTGCCATATCATTCGAGTTCGACCAGGCCACTTTCTAGCATGGACTGCTTTCGTGACCCCACTTGAAGTAAGTCGCCAGTCGTTATCAAAGAAGTGAATTTTAATAAAGGCAGTCTTTTTACATTTTACATGAGCCGCCCAAGCTGCGTCTCCTGACGGCAACAAGCACGTGGTCCATGTTGGGAACCTTGGTCCTCTTGCCGGAGTGCATTGGCATTGGAATTTTATTCCGGTTCAATAGAGTTCTGCAGGTCGTTCCGTCATATTTCAGTGCGGGTGGACTATGCTACGGACTCTCGATAGCCAAGCTACATGGTACGAGAATGTGGCGGGGTGGGCCTTGTGCATGCTGTAAGCACTTTCTGTTATCCCATTAGTTTTAGGATTCCATAAAGCATGCATAGGAGTAAGTGCATTTTTGATATACGGAGGCCTGCGCTGACACTTACAGCTTCTCCTGGGCTTGTTCATGCTGAATGCGCTATACCGCGAGCTAGTTGTTTCCAAAACTATTGAGGAGCAATTCGCCTTCCGCTCCATCACCCCATCAAGCCAAGCGCCAACCGGGAGCAGTCATGCAAACACGTTACGCATCTGTTTGTTAGGCGGGGACTTCAGTGGTAGAGATCTCTTCATATCTTTGGTGAACCTTCAAGAAAAGGATTGGACCAAGGACGATCTCAAGGTGCCTATTGGTCATACCGAAGTTCGCTCGTATCCGGACCCTTCACGTGCAAAGGGGTCAGGTGGAAGTGCTATGAGTTACACGGTTCAGTCGGTTCCGCTGATCAGTCCATTGAAATATGGGACACTCGCGATCTCTCTCATCTCTGCGTTAAACTTTTCGAGTCTCACTGGTGGAGTACATTGCACGGCATCATTTTACTATTCACACCTGCAGATGAGAATTCGCTGTATAGATTCCACATGCTACACGATTGGAATGCGTTTAGCATGAAACATGTACGACTCGTCTCAATTCAAGGACGGGGTACGTCTTCGACGCCTGAGGAAGAAGTCATCGAACGCATGATGAGGATGGCAAATGACAAGGGCTGGACTTACATAAAAGCGGATGATCTCACGACTTCTGCTGATCTGTTTCCTGACGCCCCTCGTTTTCCTTTGTTCAAGAGTCAGCATAGCACGATAGGTATTGAGATGAGTGAGTCATGCTGAGTTAGATGAATAGTTCTAGAATAAATAGCATAAATACGGAGTCAGTCTCCAATATGGTGCAGTAGAAAACTAAAGTCACGTCATGAACCTCTTCTTTATCTTCGACGATCATTCCGACAAATGCGATCCCAGACGAGCGTTACTGCTTCCGTCGGTATTGTCCCGCTGTTGGAGCCCATCACCAGGTCGCGTACGTTAGACAGCTGAGAGGTTATCCCGATACCGCTGGCGAACAAGATTGCAGCCTGATAGTGTTCGAAGACATGAGTCATTAGAGCATTAGCTAAACGTTACACGGTAATTACATTTCGAGATTGAAGTAAGCGCAGATACAAAGGCTCTAGCCAGCCAGCATTTCGTGGCGTTTTGGCAAGTTGGATGTGATAGCACGGTCGACAGAAACCTTCTATTTCGCTATCAGTAACCAACTTATTCTAACAAGACGTCTCAATTTAGATCACCATGCATGAAGGAGTAACTGTAGTGAATCGCTCTTATATTACCAAACCTTATCCAATCATTGAGAATCGCTCATTATTTGCCAATTCTCCGCCCGAGCCTGTCGCTTGGCATCGCCCTCGGACTCATCCTCGGATATTCTCTTCAAACTCTTTGTAACGACCTCTCCAGTATTTCCAAAGGACTCTACGAAGGCTAACAAACTCTCCTCATACATATAATCCTCTTTCGGCGTCTCTACGGCTGCAGCGTAACTTGGTGTGGTATTGCACGACGTCGGTAATTGAGTATTGTCCGTCGAAACGTATTCGGCTGGCGTCAACTCGAGCGGACTGGGTGCGGCTTGCGCAGACTCTAAGAAACGAACACGTTCTCTTTGTGCCTCTATCACTTTTCCTTGATTCTGCTGAAAATCCGACATTTCGTCAATCTTCTTGTGTAATTGATCAATTACTTGTTGCAGTTGGGTATTGCGGTGTCGGACGCCTTCTGTATACGCTTGATGGTAGTGTAGGAAGCCAGCGAATTCTTGGATCGCCAAGTGATGAACAGACATAGGCACCATGTGTGTATGAGAATGGGTGGGATTATAAGTCGGTGAGGCCATGATGAAGTTGATGGTAGCTAGGCAGCCGTGTGATTCTTAGAGCCCTGGTTGAGTTCTCGTTGCTCGATATTTTAGTTTGTCAATTGGTTTTCATTTATACTATATACAGTCTGAATGGCTATAAGCCCTCATTTTGGAGTTTGTTGGTGGCCGAACTAAGGTAACTTTGTACCAAGGACCTTTCTGGATCTGGCTGGGGAGGTGCTCTTTCGGACCAGTGAGACTAGGAAGTTCAACGAAGCTTTGGAACAATAAATGGCTCGCATCCTGGCATCTCAAGAAACGAGCAGCTGGTGTAACAGTATGTTACAAGACAGAGCATACAAGCAGAATCAAAATCGGCTTGCTCCTTTCTCTCTCTCTCTTCTCTTCTTTAAGAACAGACGATCCATTTCTTGCTCCCATATTTAAGTATATCTCAAGTACTCTTTTGGACAGTATCATTTCTGATCCCAAGAGCGCGAGGTCTGCCCAGGCTCCTGCGCAGTTATTGATCCTCACAGTACTACACAACAATTGAGGATTGTCGACGGTATATTTGGTCAGTGCTTTTATGTATTTATGGCCGGAAAGGGCATGTTTCCAAGTACCGTGGTACTAAAAGGTTCAAAAGTATACTTCTTCGTTAGAGAACAGGTCGATCACGTTCGTCAGTGGTGTCTTCGTGGATGGCGACGGATGGATTGATGGCTTGCGAGATAATGGTGCACTGGTTGGTTGCGGGCCTTGCGTTTGGAACGGCTGGGCAGTGCCGGTCTCGGGCTCAACGGCCAGGCGCTAGGTAGGCGGAACATCGAAAGCAGTGGGCAGGCCGGCTTGATATACGGTAAGGGATGTACGTGCTATATTGTAGCACATCGTGTATGCTTCGCTAAGGCGTGTGGGATGACGTGTCCATGACCGAGATATCGGCGAGCGTGCGGCACGGCTTCGCGGCCAATGTTGCATTTATCGCTACCTCAACTCGTGTCCTAGTAGATATGTGAGCAGGTGAGACCACCTCGACGTTGCGGGCGCGGACACCTTGGTCTCAGCGCTAGTGCTGGTCTCCTACCCAGCCGTGACGCTGTTTACAACGTCGTTGGCGCCACGAGGTTCTCGTCGCAGTCACTTCATGACGGTTTCCGTGCCGTAGCACCGCAATCACGCTTTCGTTGTCCGTCCGCGACGAAAATCTCGGCGAGCGGGCTGCGCAGCGTCATGGCCAATGTTCCATTTATGGCTACCAGAATGTGCCCTAGTAGACGTGTGAGAAGGTAGGGCCCAACCCGGCCCTGACGCTGGATGCGCAGGCACGGTACGGCTGTGCGTCGAAGGGAGTCACTTCGTAGTCGGCTTCGTGCTGTAGCGTCACAATCAGGCTCTGGTCGTCGAACCGCGACGAAGATATCGTTGAGCGGGCGGCGCGGCTTCGCGGTCAATCTTCCATTGAGGCCTTACGGCGCGCCGTATGGAAGGTATCTGGCTGTCATCGTCCTCGGGCATAGCAGCCAAGCGCGGGCAAGACGTCGGAGGCAGTCGGCAAGCCGGCTTGATGTACGGTGGGAATGTATGTGCTTGGCTGTAGCACGTAGACCTTCCGCCAAGGCGCGTGGGTGGTGCCGGCTCTTCCACTTCATGGCTAGGTGTGGTGTGCAAGTTGATGAGGTTACATCTAAGTTGTAGGATCGCGGACCTTTGGCCTTAGCGTTAGTGCCAGTCTCCCACTCGACACTATCATTCGCGCCTGGGCTTATGATAGCGTCGTTGGCGCCACAAGGTTCTTCCTGCCCGTCGACACCTGCAGTTGTGGTACGGGTGGTATCTTCATGAGAGGTATTTCGTCGGCCCTGTCACCGTAGCACCGCAGTCACGCTTTCTTTGTCCATCCGCGACGAAGTTACTGGCGAATGGGCGGGCGCTGCGTCGCGGGCAATGTAGTGCTGTACCAGCGGGCACACACAAGCGGAGCCCTATGGCGGCAGCGGCGGCACGAGGTCTTCGCCAGCCACGCCGACGAATGGTGTGCCGACCCGTAACACCGCAATCACGCTCTCGTTGTCTATCCGCAGGGGTGATATTCGCGAGCGGGCTGCGCGGCGTCGTGGCCCATGTTTTCTTGGTGGTCCTGCAGCGCCCCCAGCCACTGTGCGCCATATGGTGGGATGTCTGGACGACGTCGTCCCCAGGCTGTGTGTTTTCCTTATCATCATCCTCGATATACTCGAGTAATGCCGGCTGCCGGCGTGCGTCTTTGATATCGATCGTACTCGCGCTGTTGTCCTTATGTATTTCGAAAAAGATAGGGCCGCCAAGCTCATCTTCGGGCGACGAGCCAACACGACGCCGTTTCGACCATCCCCGGGCTTTCTCTTTGCCAGACGGCCGTGTGGCCGATTCCATTCTAGCGAGCGAATCCCCGATGCAACACGTTAGGCCTGTGTCGGATCGCTCATGAAAGGCATCGGGTGTAGATCTCGAGACGACGTACCTCTTGGCGATAGACCTGAGGATATTGGAGGGACCCGGGTGTCCGCTTTCAGAGTCTTCGGCTTCGTCAAATTCGGACGTCTTTCGCTTCGGAAGGCGGAGGAAAGGCACTGCCACCATTAACATCCATCCCTATCCTGTAGTAACACAAGAACAACTAGAATGGGGAGAACTTCGAGAAGCAGGACATACCAGTCAAGGTCGCCATAGCGGCGTGTTGGAAGTTGGTATTTGCCATAGTGAGGTTGATATCGGTGACTACTTGTGTAGTACGGCTCAAGTGGGAAGAACGTGTTGTTAGGAGAACTGTTGAAGATCGTGGCAGTTGGGTTTGGAGGCTGGCTTTATCTTGCAGCCAAGAACGCAGGAGGTCGTTGGTGAGACCGGCAAAGAGAAGTGGGCTGGCAGGCTGTGGTCGCGAGAGAGACCGTAGGCGCTGGAGGGTGAAACGTGTATGCTGGCCTGGTGGTCGGTCGATCGGCGGGCGGCGGACCTGCATACTGGCCTTGGGTCGGTTCTCCGCGACAGAGGCCAGGCCGAAGAGCCCCATCGTCGATGTCTGAGCGACCCTAACAGACGTCAGATATCTTTTGGCACCGTTTCTGCGCCGTTTGAAACCGGACATGTCGAAGAGAGGGTCGAGTTTGGGAAGATATCGCCTGTGAGCACTGACGCGGTGTCGCAGAATCGTAGAGGAGGCGGTGGAGTGGAAGCTACTCTCTACCAATCAATCTCGTTCTTGCTGGCAGGGACGCATTCGGTCAGTATTAGCGGGCGCAACACGTGTAAGTGAGGATGAAGAATAGGTTTACTTCAAGTAGTCGGGGGGCATGACCGCGGCTTGGTGACGGAATGTTTTTCAAAGAGCAAAGAAGTATGAGTTGAGTAAAACAAAGGCTTCAAGGCAAACGAGCAAAACGAGCGAAGCTGTCATGATGAAGAGATCAGAGCTGCACTTTGTGTGGACCACGGCAAAGAAGGCAACAAGTAGGTACATGCAGAGTAATTCGATCTGGGTGACATCTCATGCAGATTCACCCATACCAACCGGGCGTCGATGGTTTTTGAACAAATCAGTACTAACGTCCAGAGCAAGGTTGGTTTGGTAGCCTGTCAACTTCAACCAAGGATTTCTAATCACAACTCGGAGCTATTACATGGGTGGCGTGAGGTGATACTACTAAGGGAAATATAGTTTACGGACATAAGAGGACATGATGAGCTGTCATGCAGTATGGGTCCGCATGGATGCGCGGATAGCGTAATGCTAATGTACAAAAATTGCAAGGTTTCAGAAAATCACAATCGAGATAGGGTCACTTTGCCTGTGTAACATGCCTCCCTGTTTGTGTCTAGATGATCCAGATGGCAGGAACAGGGAAGACAAGATGGCCACAAGGCTTGGGTTCCGATTGGTAGAGTCTCATTTTGGTGGTTTGCAAAAGAGGACGCCCGGCTAAAAGGGGTCAAGTCCCTATATAGACTTGCGGAGACATCAGTCTTGATATGGATCGAATCCACAGGCGAAGCAATTCCAGTTCCTAAATTCATGGGTCGAATGATATTCTGGAATCCAAGCAACAAATTAGGAAGACAGACCACGAGAAAAATGTATATATGGTAAGTGTCACAGATGTCCCAACCCTGTGTACCGGCCAGCGAAGGCGGCCTCTGCAACCTGTCCGTGGTGCAGGCTACGAACCTGTTCTTCTGCAAGAGCTCTTTCGAGTTTCACTTTCTGGGGGTCAACAGAGCCAATGCAGAGACGCATCTTGAAGAGTTTGTGGATTTTCAGTAGTCATTATGGCATACATTACATAGATAATTGAATATACGCTGGTTTCGGCTTGACCATTTCCCCAATGACGTATGGGCTCACGATCACCGTTTCCCATGTCTTGTGTCGTTTCCTCGCCTCTTTCTCCATCTCTACCGTGCTTGACTGCCCCCACTGTATCTGACTGTCCATCAGGAGTACAGACAAGATCAAAACCGGCTTCCTCCTTTTGTCTCTCTCTTTTCTTCTCTAAGCACAGACGATCCATTCCTGGCTATAGCCTGTACGTATACCCTAAGTACTCTTTTGGACCGTATCAATTCTGATTACAAGAGCGTGAGCTTCGACCAGCTCTTCCGCACATATTGATACACCCACTACTACACTTCAATTGTACGTTATCGAAGATAGATTTTGGGCACCGAATATATGCGTTCAGGGCTGAAAAGGGCATATTTCAGGTTCCATGGTACGACAGAGGTTCAAAAGTTTACTTCAGAGTAGGAGCCAGAACTGGACTGTCCGTGCTCAAAGAGAAGAGAAGAGAGAGAAAGAGAGGAAGCCGATTTTGATTCTGTCTGTAGCACAGGATATCCTCCAATTTTGCTCAATTTTATGTCGCAGAAGCAGTTGAATCTTATCTTGGATCAAGCCTATCAGACACTTCTAGCTCCAGAAACGGCGGCGGATGACACGAATACCCGACGTCCTAAGATGGAGGCTTGTAGGGGACCGATATATATATGACAGGCTCGATAGAATCCATCCCCATCATACTGGGTTGTACATAGGTCAAGCAAAGCTACAGTAAAAGCAATGATTACACCAGGAAGAACCCGAATGCGACAAGTTCGATCACCATCACCATCACCAGAACCATATGACTTTGATGGTGAGTATTGTTGAAAATAGCCGGTCATCTTCATTATGCTGATGATAACGACAAGCGTCCGACGACGCTGGTGATAGCGATCAAAATGCGGAATTCGAGCTATCAGAACCCTCGACGGATGGTTCGGATAGCCTAAGAAGCTTGAGGAAGTTTATCGCTTCTTCATCGCAGGACAGTGATCCTGACTTTGACGGCAACAGCCAGGATGACAGCGTAACATCATCTGGTGGGGGCCAGAGAGGCTCTCTTTCCGCCGCGGGTGATAAGAAGTACGAGCCACTCGGAAGTCTAGCATGTGTCGTTGCAGCGCTGGACAAGATTCAGGAAGCACTCGAGGCACTGAAAGAGGCCGTGGAAAGAGTCAGGTACGATCGACTGGAAGAGATCGAGAATGGTCAAGGAGGTGTCAGACTGTAAGTTCGTGGGGGAGGGGGTGTTTTGCCGGATATCTTTCTTATACGGACCTAGATATCTATGAGTCCTTCAAATGCTTCTCTAGCACGTTGCCATGTGACTTTCCTGCAAGCTCTCCCAACAGACGCAAGACTCTACTAACCCTGGACTGTCTCTCCGCCTGAGCACGGTGCACACTTAGACCCTCAGCCAATGTATGTGTCTCCAATGCTTGAGGCCGTGCACGGCCTCTCACTGGCTGCTTCGTGACTCGCCCTGACGGATATTGAGGCTGTCCAGCCCGACCTATACTATGTTGTCTTATCTCGCCTTTCCGTGTCGAAGCGCTATTCTGTCCGACTTGGTAACACAGTAAATTATCATCTGTCCCGTCTCTAATCGTCGCGCTCGATTCTGTTCTGTGTGAATAACGTTGGTGTCTGCTGTCCGGGCTTCCTGTAGCGTCTGTTGGGCCATGGTCAGTTGATTGGACCATCGCTCTACCCCGATTAGATTGTGGGAGTGCTTACCTGAGCCTGAAGAGGGGCCCGGGTGCGCTTGCCGGCCTGCAGCAGAAGATGGATCGTGCACGATAACAGTGTCCCCGTCATCGTCGGGTATGATGTCGTAGATCGATAGCGGAACGGCTTGAGCTCTCTCCTCGCTGGTTTCGTGGTCGGCAGTACGTGAGCGAATTGGGCTTGTCGGCTGTGGTGTAGCAAGAGCCCGAGCGTGAGCTTGAGCTTTTCGGTCCTTACCACGGATGGCTCTTTGGACCTGAAAATGTCAGAATTCTCGTTCGACCATGAAATATGAAGGGACGGATACAAACAAGTTTATTGAAATCCGGTAACTTTTTCAGGTCTTTAGGCACATGTACCTCCATTTCCATCCGGTTATCAATGGCGTTGTGGTACATGAGCACACTGAGAACATTCGCCTTTTCGCCAAGGGCTTTGGCCTTACGCTTAAGCGATGGGCCACTTCTGCTCATCTTGATTTTCTGCGGCCTGGTATGCATGTTGGTTGTCCTGACCTAGGCAGCTTGATGGTTATGTGATGCTGTTAAGTATGAATAACTGTAAACAAAACAGATGACGAATTTCCCGCATTCGATTTGGAAATGGCTATCTATAAAGACATTTGGGATTGCCCTGCCAGCTGAGAAACAAAGTGGGTGCTCAGCAAACATGAACTGGCCTCGGAGTATTGAAGTGTACACTCTATGATTATGGCCTGTGTCCGCAATGGGATGGGGTGTGGAAGTGGTTCTCCAGGAATGTCAATAGTGTACCCACAGCTGCTAGACGTGACAAAATGATCTCCACGTAATGGGCAAGGATTTGGTCACCACAAGGGTCAGGATTTTGAGCTATCCGGACCAGGTAATACAATTCGAGATTGGGAAAGGCCTAGACTGGCTATTCTCGGTCTGAAAGTGTGTTTGTCGCAGCAAGAGCATGGCTTCGTGCACCATAAGCCGTTTCTGGCTCACTACGACAAATAGTTGCCTCATTCATTCAGGAGCAGGATATTATCCACCTAAATACACAGTTCTAGATCAGTGAGACCTGAGTATGAGAGTAAAAGCTAACCCAGTATGGCAATGAAAAGCGTGGCTAACCTCCTCAAGCTCATCCCTCCCGGAAAGGGCAATGAGATCCGTGTTCTGATTAGATGGCGGAGTTAAGCACTTTTTGCCCGCTTGGTCCACTTGGCTTCTGAGCTTGTGCATCCTGCTGGGCTCTTCTGATTTCCACGGGACGAAACTACCATTCCCACTCCAGAGGCAGGCAGGCAGGCAGGCAGGCAGGCAGGCAGGCAGGCAGGCATTGAAGTGTAAGTGGAGCATGGCATACAGCAGAACCACGTGTTTGTTGGGTTGCGACCTGGCTGAGCCCTGAAAGCGGTTGGCTTGCGGGCCAAGACACGGTATGTCCGCCCCACCATGAGTCCGCTCTTTTATTCTGACCAGGGCTCAAAATTGGCTAGCCCAGCATGGGTGTTGGCACCACCTTTCGCGAGGTCAAGTTTGAACACGAATTTCGTACCTGATAATGAGCACGCACAGTTGCATGTGGACAAAACATAGGCAAAAAGAAAAAGAAAAAGAGACAGAGGCGGCTTATTGCGTAGACATGATTGAGGAAAGCTGGGGCCGTGGGAGATGGATGCTGTCAATACTGTACATTATCTTGACCGAGAAAATCGGTCGAGGAAAGCTGGGGGCCGGGGGAGAAGGACATAATGCAACCAAATCTCGTGTCGACCCCCAGTCACTCCCGCAGCGAATTAGACTCACGTGTCACGGTACGTGGAGAATATAAGAAGGATGCAATCAATTGAGCGCGGAGCTGTGTGTTATGGCCACCAATGACATGAGCAGCCACGAGCAGCCGTGCAGATATCCCTGGGGTCTCCACTATTACGAGGCAGTGCTCTGGTTTGGCATAAAAGACGCTCGACTGCCCTGGCATTTTTCCTCTTAGCTTACCAGACTGTCGGGTCACAACTGGCGATGAGAGCAAACAACGGATGGACGCCCAGGCCGCCAACCACCGGCTATTCACACGTTATAGCTTAAGCTGGGAGACACCTCACATACTGACCTACTAACGATATAAATGGTCGATTTCTTGTGTGGAAAGGGAGAAGTCGGTACATAGGAGTATCGAGGAACGTAAAGCATCAAGGAACATAAGAGCATGCAGGAACACAAGAGCATGGAGGAATCCAAGCTACGAGCATCAGGGGTGTCGAGTAGGTTTGACGGGCGCAAAATGGCAGATTGATGATAAGTGCGTCGGCATAGGAATCTATGACAAGTGCCGTCATTCCCAACCTGTCTTCTCGCTTCCTTGGCGGGATTAGACCGGTCGACACAAGACTGTGCAAGACTGTCAAGGTGTTGCCAGTATTCGGCCCACTACCTCCTGCTGGTATCCACTCGTGCGGCCAGTGTCGTAGCCATGCACGGTTGAGGTAGATCCAAGCCACATCGGGGATCCGGACGAACATCATCGCTCTATTCCAGTATCGATCCATGCCATGGCATTTCCGAGTTTCAGGTTGACCTGTTTGGAGTCAAGAACGAGAACATCCCGGACCAGATTTTGGCGTGACCATTACCGTCCCTTGATAGGTCACATCAAATATACCAGCCACTTCAATGGCAAGGGTACCAAGTCAGTCAGGCGAGCAAACAAGAGATGACGAATAGGACCGACAAATAGCGGATAGGACGGAGAGGACGGAGATGACAGATAATGGACAGGGTTTGCAACAGGAATGTCATGTGGAATATTGATCCAAGCCCCTGGACCGAGGTAATGCAACTTACATGACGGCATCGGGAATACCAGTGGGAGCCCATTCTTGAACGAGTCACCTGCGACTGGAGTGAGCCAATGCCAAGTAAGAACACACAAGAGAAGCATGAACTCGCAGGAGAAACAATAGCCCGAGTAGGACCCTTGTCTGGGAACAGCGAAGACCGAATCCTCCATGGCTGTTAGAGCACGATGACTACTCTATGTATGACTCCCCGGCTGGCATAGTAGTGTAGCCTCGGATCGGTTCTCATGGCAATGCCCGATGGCTGGCTAGAACCGGTCAAGTGTTTCATCAGTCGTTCATGCTTTGCAGTCTTCCAAGGAGGTCGGGCCGCGCAACCGTCATTGGCACTTGCCTGTTCTGGGATGAAAGGGCACAAGGGCCACTAGTCTATGGGGGGCAGGGTGAGATGAGGGACCCACTATCGGACAATATATAAGGGCATCGCTCGTCCCATTATTTTCACTTTCTTTCTTTTCTTTTCTTCTTCACGCCCGTGTCGTCCGCCTGTGAAGAAGCTTAAAGCCTCCAGGTTGTATTGCCCTGAACCGATGTCCACACCGGCAGGATGCCCCTAAGACCGATGACCACTCCGGCAGGAAGAATACCCCTAAGACCGATGACCACTCCGGCAGGAAGAATACCCCTAAGACCGATGACCACTCCGGCAGGAAGAATACCCCTAAGACCGATGACCACTCCGGCAGGAAGAATACCCCTAAGACCGATGACCACTCCGGCAGGAAGAATACCCCTAAGACCGATGACCACTCCGGCAGGAAGAATACCCTGACAATCCGATGTCCATACCGGCAGGATGCCCCTAAGACCGATGACCACTCCGGCAGGAAGAATACCCTGAAAATCCGATGTCCATACCGGCAGGATGCCCCTAAGACCGATGTCCACTCCGGCAGGAGACCCGTCGAGCTTGCACGCTCAAAGGCCGAGGAGACCCTGTCATCCAGCTGGTCTGACTGACTTCCTCAGTCTCTCTCTGTCTTTTGTTCTTTCGGATCCCAGGAATGCGCGGCGACACGAGTGGGCGATTGCGAGGCGTGGCTCGTTATCGTTTTGCGCATTTCCCGGCCCGAGCCCGAACACAAGCAGAGAGAGTACAGTCGAAATCGTCCTGACTTCTTGGAGACATGTTGTCTTCCGCTAGTGATGCGTGCAGGAACCTTGACGGGGGTCGCAGATGTCCACTCCTGTGTACCGGCCAGCGAAGACGGCCTCTGCAACCTGTCCGTGGTGCTGGCTACGAACCTGTTTGCCCTGGCCGAGACTCTGTTTGGTAGTCTTGACAGGATGACAGAGCCAATGCAGAGACGCAGTAGATAGTCAACTAGTGAATACAAGAGACGTGTCTTTCGACACAGATTCCAACACAGAGCTTCCACTACAGACATGTCACTACAGAGATTCCACTACAGAACTTGCAGTACAGAGAATATGCACAGCCCCATCTTGTGTCGTTGCCATACAGGCTTGTCTAGTTTGTCTAGTTCGTCATTCTCACTTCGTAACGTCTCCGTGTCTGTGACCAGGACAAGACTGACCTGTAATCTGCTACTGTATCAGTGAGTCCTGCCTGCGACTGAATGTGTCGTCTTTCGGTACGGTATTGTTACTGTACAGACAGTATTGTAACGTTACGACTCGAAGGGTGAAGTCGATCGAGGGACGCATTTGGTAATGGAGTAGATTCGTACCAGGCCTACTGCTTGTGGACAGTTCCAGCCGAACATCGACATCCAGGCTGTGGAGAGAGGGGGCCAAGGAATGGCATCTCAGGTTGCCTGGACATGCTAGAAACAGGCTGGTCCTGATTCATGTCCAGTCATGACACGAAACCTCGGGGGGTCGCGCTTCTGTACACTCGGTCGGGAACGAATCGTGTCTGCTTCTCGTCAGGCCGGAAATGGGCTGTCGCAATTTGTCGCGATCGTTTCGGGGGCTGGACAGGCCTGGTTTTGAGTCGTGCTTCTCGTCGGTGGCCTCTTTCGGGCCGTCCCATTTTCGACAGGGAGTACAGAAGAGGCGCATCGGTCGGCTTGTTATGGGGGAAAAACGGCTACGCGACGCCGGCCCACTTTGACGCGATCAAATAGTGGTCAACGCTATACCCGATTGAGGAGGAACAGCGCGACAAATCCGTACGCCTCCAAAGTGGTATGCAAATGCGCAAACAAAGCTTGAAGCAGGACTGCACCGACGTTCAAAAGCGTCCTGGTGGGGTCTGACCAGAACCAGAATCAGATTCGATCAATGGACGTCCTTCGCTCATTTTTGGATTGCTTTCATTCTGATTTCGTGGAAGCAGAACCAGCTATGTATAGTATTGGTGCAATGTCTCCACACTTGATCCACGGTGCTTGCAGGACCACGAAATCGGCCACTCTAGCTGTCTCCACAATCTGACAGGTTTGTCTGAAATTCCCGTTTCCGTGCCTGACAGTGATAAGACCCTGATTGTCGCCAACACAACAGCGACAGCGACAGCGACGAACCAGAAACGGCACAGAGATGACCAAGCTGCCATAACCGACCAGAACTGTACTGTATTTACTTACATACAGACAGAATCAAAATCGGCTTCCTCTCTTTCTCTCTCTTCTCTTCTCTTTGAGCACGGACAGTCCAGTTCTGGCTCCTACTCGGAAGTACACTTTTGAACCTCTGTCGTACCATGGAACTTGAAATATGCCCTTTTCGGCCCTGAACGCATATATTCGGTGCCCAAAATCTATCTTCGATAACGTACAATTGAAGTGTAGTAGTGGGTGTATCAATATGTGCGGAAGAGCTGGTCGAAGCTCACGCTCTTGTAATCAGAATTGATACGGTCCAAAAGAGTACTTAGGGTATACGTACAGGCTAGAGCCAGGAATGGATCGTCTGTGCTTAGAGAAGAAAAGAGAGAGACAAAAGGAGGAAGCCGGTTTTGATCTTGTCTGTACTCCTGATGGACAGTCAGATACAGTGGGGGCAGTCAAGCACGGTAGAGATGGAGAAAGAGGCGAGGAAACGACACAAGACATGGGAAACGGTGATCGTGAGCCCATACGTCATTGGGGAAATGGTCAAGCCGAAACCAGCGTATATTCAATTATCTATGTACGTGTATGCCATAAGGGCTACTGGAAATCCACAAATTCTACAAGATGCGTCTCTGCATTGGCTCTGTTGACCCCGACAAGAAAGACTCGAAAGAGCTCTTGCCAGGACAGCAGGTTCGTAGCCAGCACCACTCGAACGAAATCGTGCACAGGTTGTTTAGGTATAACAAGTTGATCTAAGAGTGCAGGACAAATTATGTACAAAAGGGGACCGAAAGGTCAAGAACGTTACAATGGAGCAACAGTGGCCTTCCTATCGGGAGCTAGAATTCGGCACACGGAGTGTATCACAGGCTACAATGGTACAGCGACGTCGTCGAAAGTCGTCCTGAGTCGGTCAGATCAAAAGCGTATTCGGGCCAGAGCGGATACAGCACCTGCTCTGCACCACCTGAGAGGCCGCATTTGGGCTACCGTACCGGTTTGTAGTTTTATTGCACGAGTTTCCATCAGGGTCTGTCTGATTGTAGCATATCGATTCTCTCGTCTCAATCTTGTCATTATTATTAGAGCGAAAGTGTGTCGTAGTTTTATACACTGCTAATTATAAATATGGTAAATTGCTTGACGATCAGATAGAAGTTCGAACTTCATCAATAAATATTAATTTCGTCCTACTCACATTGACTTGCCATTATTCATGCTGGTAATTCTCTGTATCATGAAAATGGCGCAGCTCGCCTTCAAGCGCAATGACCGTCGAGCATTTCGAGATGTGCACAGAGGCATGACAACGACATCAATGCATGATCGGGGAGGAGAACATCATATCTCGCTTGGCATCTCAGCAGATATGCCAACAGTCTCCCCCATACCGTCCACATCAATGCCTAATCCGCCAGAGGTCAAAAGCCATGGTAGGTACGCGGAAAGCCTGACTGCAGAAAACCTTCTAACCCTAAGGAACAGCAGATCGTTGCAAATTCGAGACCGTAGCCAAAAAAAAAGACTTTTCCCATCTAACCCAACCCCAGATCGTTCGTCACGAGCAACAACGACTTCCATGGACGAGGCGTGACAGCACGGCGATCGACACAGCTAGCCTGTCGGACGTTCTGACTGACGATGAGACCATCAGCATCAAGGCCAGCACCATAGAGCCTCCATACTCCCCGATACACTGTCTGGTCAGTGAGGAGTCCAACGGTTCGCAGTCGTCCTCCATGTCGCCGTCGCCAATCCCACTCGCTAACGAAGGAAATATAACAAAGGGCATGATGAAAGAATCGGCAAGCCTGAGAAGTAAGGGCATTCACACCGTTGATATTGGGTTGAATAGAGACAAAGTGACACTGACATGATGTTCTAGGCCTACAGCCTCCTCGCGGCACTGTGGACCATGCTGCGAGTACGGATCGCTGCCGTTCCATCGACACGACAAGATTGCCTGGAACTCGTTAGTCAATGATAACCATGCGGTGTCTTCGGAGGAGAAGAATGCGGCCATGCTGAGGATCAGTCTCTGAGCAATCCGAGACTATGCTATGACGATGAGGAGAAAGCGAGTTGATGGCGGTGCTGCTGCAAGAAGCAGGGACGGCTTGACCTTGTTCGGGCCACACAGCACCTCTTCAAGCAACAGATCCCGAAGAACAGTCTGCACTCCTCCACGAAGTCACACGGACCACACTTCTGATGATGCGTTGTACCTCAGGGAGAAGGATGGTCATTTGGGACACACCAGCGATCAAGATTATGTAGACGGAGAGCCACGGGGAAGACCTGCCAAGAGACGACGTGTCATGTGTCATAAGCCTTGGAGTCCTCGACAGGAGCAGACTCTGCGAGCGGGATGGAACAAGAGCAGAGCTGGGAAGATATAGCCACAAGACTGGACCGAACGCCTGGAGGAGTGAGGCAGCATTGGATGATGATGGAGCGCAGGTTCAGTCCGAGGAAGCGTGGAATTTCGAGACCATCGGACTGATGGGTCTCTATGTAATCGAACGGGAAGAGTCCATGGGCACAACTTCAATGAGTGGGCATATATTTCAACAGACAGGATGTAACAGCCAGGCAAAAATATACACCTGGAAGGTTGACCTGACAAAGATGCAGAGAGATATACGACCATACTTTTCTTCGGCCGAGGACCCTGTATTCCTGAGAGAAGATCAAGATCGCAGAAGTGGTCCATCACTTTGCCGTCACACCATCGCCCTTGGCAAGGAGGCAACTGTGCTCTATCTGTCGATCCTATGGCCGTATTTTTCAAGAATATAGGGTTGTACTAGAGGACTTAACTTCAGTGCGACATCAAACAGACTGTAACTCAAGAAAGTACTGAAATAATCAGTCGAACAATGGTGCATCTTGTCAGGGCTATAATTCGTTTACTGGTGTTACCATAGCGCTGGTCGTTGTGCTTTCTGCAGAGTCTACAATTACCGTCAACCTCAAGGCATACTTACCGGCGTAACAGTCATGCCGTATTTCGCGGCTTCCGAGCACTCTGTGTAGTCCCGAACGTGTTGAATATTTATATAAGATCACTTGCCCCCATGACCACCCATGAGCAATAAATGAATCAATACTTGTTTTCTTTTCTTTTTTCGGTTTTTTTTTCTTCTAAGTAGAGTCGTAAGAAAACATTTCTGTCTTAACTGTTATGATTGTACACAATCAAATCGTCGCTATAGAATGGAGAACAACCGCCAGACCTCCTATTGTCACTTCCTCCAGGTATGTATTCCCTGCGAACGTAATCCTTCATGCTCATTTCTGTCTAGAGCTTCGTATCATGATATACGACTATCTTGTATCCGTTGACATGCCTCTGAAGTTGTCGTGGACGCCGTCCAGTCGTAAGCGGAGCAATGAAATACGCGCCAAGGGGTTGTTCGGTTTGATTCGGACCTGTCGCTGGCTCCATCAAGAATGTGAACCTCTTCTTCGAGCACATATCCACAGAAGCACGCATGAAATAAAATTCAGACATTTGGATCGATACATGGAAAGCCACCTCGTGTTGGGAGGCACGGAACGGAAGCTACGTCTCTCAATTGATGGTGCCCTCGAAGGAGATGGTGCAGACTTGCTGCCATTGATGCACCCAGAAAAATGGCAACCCAACCACGAAATAGCGTTTGTCACTGCATCTGAGAGTCAGGACTGTAAAGAGATTGTCGGCCACCTGAACTCCCTGGTACACCTGGGCCGAAGCTCACCTTTTCTCCTTCAAGTTTGCGGCAGTGTGCGGATTTCTTGGCGGAGATGGCCAGTTCCTTTTATCGTATTTGTCCCAGTATGGTACGTCCATGGTGGACATGATGTTATGGAACATATGGACGGATGTTTTCTGGACTATTTTGGCGTCTCGCGACTTCGAAATCACCTAGAGCTCCGCGTAGCGTCTGGATTGAGATAATCGAATGACGAAGGAATTCACTAAGAATCGATTGGGTTATTACAGGTAGCACTGTACCATCACCAGCCTGAGTGCCATTTAATGATTATTCAATCCACTTGAATGAAACACTCAAAGCTGGATCCGGCTGATACACAATACTACATTGAATTAGGCCCCTTGTGACAAGAAAATTGCACTCAGTATTTGGAGGCCGTTCATAATCCCATCCTTGCTCAAGCTTGAGTGAGCTACACTGTCCATGACGAATTACTCCTTTGGTCCTGTTTGCGTCCATGTTTCAGGCTCTTCAACAATGATAGGTATACTCCATACGCAACCTTGCTCCTGCCGGGTTTTCCCTATCGAACTTGTAGGACTAAATTCTCACTTACGAAGCGAAGATAACCATAGTGGATCTCGATCGATGTGGACATAACCGATGCGATCTTAGGAGCTTTATGGTCTTCTTTGCAGACACCATTCGAACACTGAACATTCCCTTTAAGACGGTATCTCTGATGCATGCAGGAATATCATCCAGAGAAGAACGTGCCTTCGGAATGACCGGACGCGAATGCAGTTATCACCATCACTATCTGCTTACATCGCGCAGGTAGCATAGATGTCTCGTCAACCGTGGATTTAGTCAGCTGACACGCATGTAGTTTGTATTTTGTTCCTCATTGCCTCACGCACGCACGTACAAGGATCTCTGAGCACTCGTCGTAGAGATGTACGCAACTAAGTATCTTCAGAATCCTCGTACCATCTCGAACACTTCAGGAAATATGTCATCAGGCCCCCGTGACAACAGATTGTTGACGACAAATGGACCCGTCTCGACTCGCGCCTCCACTTTCGAGGGCAGCAGCTCTAGGATGCGAGATTCCTTGATTTCGAGGCCGTGTTTCCCAAAGTATCTCTCGCTCTCGAAACTCCACTGGACATTGGCACCGACCCATTGAGCAATGCCGTCTACATATATCTGGATATCCAAGTCGACGAGACCACCCCAACGGCGCACTACGAGAACCGCCTGATTGAATTGCTGTACGAGCTTGGCATGTATCCTCGCGGCCCAGTCAATCGCTTCCTGTAGACTAAAACGACACTCTTTCATAATAATGCTGATGAGGTTATGCCCATCGTCGCCAGAGGCTTGTTCTTTGTTGTATGACAGCACATCCTAGAGCGCCGATGATGTGAGCTTACTGTTCCGTGTTCTGTGTCTTCCGCGTCTTCATGAGATCGACTACGCTGACAGCAAACTTACATTAGCAATGATAGTCAGATCCACCGCGAGCGTCTCTAATGCTCTGATAGTGGGATGCGTTAGCACCTCATCTGGCAGGTTCATTTCCATTTGGAAGAAGGCCAGAGAGGGCATCACTCCAATGGTTTGCCGCCGAACCTCGAGATAGCTGGGGACGGTGCGGATGTGAGAGCGGAACCTATCTTCTGCCTGTTGTGCAGTTCCTTTCAGGTACTTCTCCCAGCTTGCAAGGAACCGCTGTTGGAATGACCTGGTTGAGATCCCAGCCACTCGAATCCAAAACCTGTTGTGCACCTCCAGTGAGCTCACTTGTTCTTATCATGACGGTAGCTGACCTGGGGAATGGACGACCTACTGTCGCGCAATCTCGCCGCCGACCCATTCTCCGGCTGGGCGTGGCATTTCGGGATTGCGCAGAGCATCCATCAAGATGTCGACTTGATTCCATACATCGGCCGGTTCGGATATGTCGGAGTGCTCGTCAAAGATGAAGAAGAGGTTTATGACATCACACGTACACCTCAATTGTTCTCTGTCCAATCGCGGGTACATCAGACCAGCCAGCAAATCTGCAAAAGCTCATGTCAGCGCGCCGGAGCCTTGTCACTCAATGGTACATAGATACGGGTGCCACTGACTAAAGTTACATTTGTCGAAGGCCTTCTGTGCCTGGGGGGTGAATGCCCCGAAACTAGACACCCAGTCGAGGCATTCTTGTTTGATGTCGGCCGTGTGGATGTTGACTTGACGAGGCCATCGCCAACCGGCCTCTAGATCGGGTAGTCGGATGAACTTGGCCATGCTGATGTTTGCTAATCAGGCCGATGGGTCTGATCGGGATGACAGGATAGGGTGAATGCTGGGTTGGAGTTTTTTGCAGTGAACGATATGTCTGATCCTTCAGTTGCAATGACATGATTTCTTCATATTTATATAGTGATCGCTGAGACAAGAGAGAGGAAGGGAAAGGGAAAATCGCCTGTTGCAGAAACTTTCGTTTTGCAACGGTCGTGCATGAAAATGCTGACAATGGCCGTCAAGGGAACAGTTCCGCTCGCTGGTGTATAATATGATACTGGCTGGCCAAATATCTACATCATGTTTCAATACTTTGCTAGTTGAGATTGAAATGTCCCCTACAAATTGCTTGTAATTGTACCGGCAGCAAAAGGAGGAATATGCTGATTGAACTGTTTCCTCGACACCAATTGGCCTCAACGAGATACAACGTTGTTCTGGATACTCTTCCATTTCAAGCCATCGATACATATACTTTATTGAGGTTCAGATATCATGACAACTTTCGAGAAAGGAAATCTGGCCTCAGATTATGGAAGTGTACACTCCATACTTATGGCGTGTATGCGGACTGGGGTGGGATGCAGAAGATAGTCCATCAAGCAGTTCAATAGTGTACCGTACAGCTGCTTGACGTACAAGAGGCCAAAACCGTGTGTGGCATCAGGTACAACGCAACCTGGACCATGTCCCAAACCGATTCGAGCTAAAAGAAACAAAAAGGAAAAGTAAAACAAAAAAGGCATTCGTTGAAGACCACGCCAAAGTCGCTCACTGTACAGGCATGATCAAAATTGGCTTTCCTCTTTTCGTCTCTCTATTCTATTCTTTGAGCACGGATGATCCAACTATGGCTCCCGCCCTAAAGTACAGTACGAGTACTCTTTCGGACTATACCAGTCTTCAACTCATGCTCATGATTTATCACTAAGCTCTTCTGGAGTTATTATGCTCCATATATCATATAATGGGTTGGCATCATCAAAAGTGGATGATGAGCGCTGCATGTAGGCTTTTATAGCTAGAAAGAGGATATCTTCAGCCATCGGAAACGACGTAAAAGTGGGCCACTTAGCCTTGGGGCTGCGTCAGCGAATGAGTCAACACCGGTCCTTTTACATAACTTCGCTATTCAATCATGATGCTCAAGGAAGTCCTTAAATGAATTCAATATCAATATGGAAAACGAGGAGTCAAGGGACGCATTATTGAAGCGTTTAGAGGAGTTAGAAAAACGCGCCCAAGAAGCAGACCAACGCGCCGAAGAAGCAGACCAGCAACGCCAGCTCGAGCGACAACGCGCCGAAGAAGCAGACCAACGCGCCGAAGAAGCAGACCAGCAACACCAGCTCGAGCGACAACGCGCCGAAGAAGCAGACCAGCAACGCCAGCTCGAGCGACAACGCGCCGAAGAAGCAGACCAACGCGCCGAAGAAGCAGAACAGCAACGCCAGCTCGAGCGACAACGCGCCGAAGAAGCAGACCAGCAACGCCAGGTCGAGCGACAACGCGCCGAAGAAGCAGACCAGCAACGCCAGCTCGAGCGACAACGCGCCCAAGAAGCAGACCAGCAACGCCAGGTCGAGCGACAACGCGCCGAAGAAGCAGAAAAACTCAACCGTCCAACAACCTTCTCTGAATACCTCGAAGCCTGCCACGAGTTTGTCTATGCGAAATTCAAGGTCGAGCCAGACAAAAGTCTTACATCGAAGGGTTCAACCACGAATCCCCAAAACAAATATTGCCCGACGCGACTCATCCCTTGGTCAGACTTCATAGATCAGCAAAGGACGGTATTCGGCGATCTTTATTCACTATGCCCAACCGAGGCCAGAGCTTTCGAGAGTCTGGCGTTCTTACAAGGCCTTGGAGAAAGGATATCACGAAAACGGATTGCCAATGAGAAGGATCTCGAATACTTTCAGCACATCAGTGTGGAGGATCCGGTACGGTCGATTGTCGAGCATCTCGTATCTATAGACGAGGTCAGGGTAACTTTTGGTCTTGGGGATGGTATTGTATTTGAGAACCATCCGAATGCTATTAGCGACGTCTCCGAAGAGGTGGTTGGCCGCCGTACCACACCGCAACGGCCACGCACGCCCGACCAACCTCGATTCGAACGCCTCCGGCTCCGCCCTGATCAAATATGCATTTATAAACAGGAGGACGGGACTTCGACAAAGCGTACTATGCTTTACATCAACGAGTACAAAGCACCACATAAGGTCACTCCACAGCATCTTCGCGTAGGACTTCGTTCGATGGATATACACAAGGAGGTCGTGAATCGGGCCACGATCCCAACATCAGCTGACCCTGAGGCTTTATTCCAGTACCACTCGGAACGACTCGTCGCGGCTGCCATGACGCAGACGTTCCACTACATGATCGAAGGCGGATTAGAGTACGGTCTGGTCACCACAGGGGAGGCGATTGTTTTCATGAGAGTCGACTGGTCCGACCCTACAACCCTACTGTACCATCTCGCCGAACCGGGAGCGGAGGTGGTCGCGCACCCACGTAATGCACGTTATTGCACGGCGGTGAGCCAGATGCTTGCTTTCAGCCTGCTGGCTCTAGACTACTCCCGGGGCAGACGATATCATCGTCAGGACGAGCGTGAAGCGGTCATGTCCAGCCTAAACACCTGGTCAGAAGATGTCGAGACCATACTACAATCGATACCGGCCGATCAGCGGAAGGCACCATTGAGCTCGCCCGCCTATGAGCCAGACCCATACAGTGATATTGATCGGTCGCCCTGTACCTCCCGGAAGGGGAAGCCAAGGAAACTTCCGAGAGATGCGACGAGAGTTGGTGTCCTAGCACGTTCGCCGGAGTCATCCGACGATGAGAGCACGAGGCGAATGCAGGAGACGCCCACACCAGTTGAGCCGAGACGGAGCGAAAGGGTTCGGCAAATTCTGACCGACCGCACACGCAAGGACGGCGGCGAGAGGGTTTCGTCACACCATGGTCGCCAGCGAAATGGTGGATACTGTACGGAGGATTGCCTGCGCGGCTTGACGCTACAGATGCGGCTTGACGAGAAATGCCCGAATGTTGCTGCTCATCGACCTGATGGGGATAGTGTCCACCACCGCATTAGCCACGCCACATTCAAAACTCTGCTCCGCGACCAGCTCAAGCGCACCCTCGACGACGGAATCGAGAGCCTTGACAAGGGAGGTGCTCGTGGGGTCCTCTTCAAGGTGACTCTTCTTGCATATGGGTATACCTTTATTGGCAAGGGTACCGTGCCGGCATTTATCGAGGATCTCGAACACGAAGTAAAGGTCTATCAGGCCCTCCAGCCGCTGCAGGGTAAAGCCACGCCTGTCTTTCTCGGGGCGATCGACCTACGTTCGATATCACGCACTTACTACTACGACTTCCGAGTCCGAGTTCAATACATGATGTTTCTATCCTGGGGTGGTGATAGCTTGGACTCGGTGCGCACTGCGGGCGACGATGGAGATCTAAGGCGACAACTGATTCATGCCATCCGTGGCTTGCACACTTGTGGGGTCGCGCACAAGGATCTCCGGTCTCCTAATGTGCTGATAAACCGAGAGACTGGACAGATTAGGATATGCGATTTCGAAAGGGCTGTTTTGATGGAACGTCCTCGGCTCCCTCTTGGGTCTGTGGTGCCAAATAAGAGAAGGCTCCCGACAAGAGAGAGCGGGGGAAAGGTGGCTCGTAACTTGCCTTGTGAACGGCAAATGCGTGAAGACTTGAACGCAGTCAACATGATATGCGTGCAACAGATATGAGGTACATCGGCGTTTGGACTTGTCAAGGTTTATACGATGTCGGAGTTTAGCTGTTCGATGTGCTGACGGTTGTTCCGCTGGTCTATCCCAGAGCTCTACCGTACCGGTGTGCTGGGAGTTATTGGGATGAAGTGGGCGGGAAGCGGGTAATCAGAATCCGCGAGGCAGTAGATGGGCCTATCAATGTCTTTATCCAGATCCTCAGATGATGGCCGCTTTTAAGAACGACGCTATAATAGAGATCAGCTATGTGCTCTCTCCTATCTAGAAGTCGTGAGTAAATCGTATTGTATTTTGGTTTGGATCTAGGGAATAGCTCGGCACACCATAAGAAAGCATTATATGGATACAAAGTAAATAAATGTTTACAATGCTTCAAGTAGTCGGCACTGTACTAGTAGTTTGTAGGCCAGAATGTGATGAGGCTAGCCGGGACTGCGGCTACCATATAGTAACGTCGCTTCTTTCTCCATATTATCGAGTCTTGTCGTCCTGCTAGTTACGCCACTGAGTAGCTAACAACTTCCAAACTTGTTGCAAGCAAAATGACCCCACTGTCTGGATTCCATCATCGGCAAATCGAAGCATGCTCTCGATCGGCTTCTCTTGAGAATCGAGCAGGGGCCGTAGGAATGACTCAAATAGCCGACGATGGCCCCTCGCGTTGGGAAGGAGAAGGTAAAGGATAAAGACGAGTCTCGTCAACGCATATACCGGAATTAGCTCTAAGACGGAATGTGAAAGCGACTCGATGAACATCACGGTAGAAAGGATGGACCAGTACATCAACCATTCTCTCAGTTTCTCTATATTCGGTGTTTTCAGTGCCTTGAATGTGGCAAGAAGGGGATAGAGGAGACATAGAGTCGAGTTGAGGATATCAAGTATGCTACTCAGCATCATGTAGATCGAGGCTGTTGTGATTGACCGTAGTAGAGCTTCATGCCAGCATCGGGCGCAGTCGAGACAGTCTTCTTATGATACATTTCGAATCAGAAAGAGGATTTAGTTTGCCCCTTGCTCCAAATTTTGTCAATTAACAACTGGGACGTCCAGCACAGGATATCTTCCAATCTTTGTTCAAGTTTGTGTCACAGACGCAGTTGAATCCTATGTTGGATCAAGCCTATCAGACACATCTAGCTCCAGAAGTTGCTTGGCCAGCAAGCCAACCAACCAAACGTAGTTTGCTATATGCAGTTTCTAGAATGGTCAATTCTGGCACGTGGAAGTTGGGACCGGACAGTATTGTGCTAGAGGGGTCAGAGGTGGTCAGTGTGGATTCAAACCCCAAATGAGAACCAGCCACTTTCGAGCCAGTTTATTTCCATTTTTAACACCGCGACACTTTTGAACTTCGGTACTGTGCACCACGAAATCGGCACTCCAGCTGTCTCCACAATCTGCCGGGTAGTTGAGACCCGTCTTCTGTATATGGACGTATAGGAGTGGGCGTGTAGAAAATGCTTCCTTCTACCCAGATCCGACACCTTAGTCAACAGCAACTGTCCATAAAGTTTATTGTTCTGAGACGGTATCAACTGAACGGTTGCCCTATGAATTACCTATCATACCCTCCCAGGTTAGGCGCCTAGATTGCCTTCAAACAGCTTCAAGCACCCCTCCATCACCTCATAAAAGGCCCGTCTCATTATTTTGGTAACTGCATAGTTCTTTCTTCCAATTTCTTCTCTTGGCACTACCTTCCACGTACTACTCAATCCTTGGATATCAAAACTCAGAGTTCCGCAACAAAATGAGTAACCGCCACCTACATAAAAGGGATCTCTCGTTCCCTAGCCCGGCACCGTCGCACGATGTAACACTTCCCAATGGCGAGACTGCCGCAGTCGAACAGGACGACGAGCTGTGTCAAGCCCTGCTTTCGCTGATTGAGAGCATAGTGCGTGACATGCAGGACGAGCTTCGACAGCAATTCAAAGCTCAGCTGCAAGAGTCCCAGATGAAGAGATTGCAGCAAGAGAAGGTACTCTCCTCGCTAGCGGAGTCGCTCGTGGCAAAACTACATGCAGCAAAAGAACAAATGGTGGAAGATCTTGAGGAAAGGGTCGCTATGCTCAAAGCCTCGATGGCTACTCCAGAACTTACCGGAGCACTGTGGCCGGACAGGGCATCTCAGCCAATAGGCGAAGTCGAAGACCACTCTCCAGCATATCTTCAGCAAGTAACTGCGAAGAATGGCGAGCTCAAAAACCTTGCTGAACAACTCAAACACGGAGCTGGGGACTTTGGGAGGGCAGCGAGTGTGTTTTGTTCTGTCATCTTCTTCGATCCCCGCCAAGGCAAACTGGACGCGGCGGTGCACTTGCCAGTAGGCCAAGCTCTGCCAGGTGCTAATGAACTCGTACGCAAGAAAGGGAATGTTTGTTTAGTTGACTTATTTCTCATAGATGCGGGCGATGGAGGAAGCGAATAATGCTACATTCGTGCAGGAGCGCGTCGCACCAGAAGTTGTCGACTCTCCTAGGTCCACAGCATTTCAATCGAGTCGTGCAGACCGTCTCTTTGGGTCGGCAAGAGAACAGGCAGAAGACGTGGACAGCAGAATGATCGAGCAACAGCTCACTGACGATACTGCCCAGGCAATGGGATCAAGCACTAGGCTCCGCTCCGAAGGAATCTGGCCAAGGAGACAGAAAGCCAGTCAATTCCCAGCACTCTCTGCCCGAGGACAACCAGCTCGATCTGAACCATCTCCTTGGTCCAAGCAGACCGGAAACCTATCACAGCTGGCAGAAGCAGCTCTTCATCTCAGCTCATGATTAGTAGTGGGACCTCCAATGACTTTTGGATGAAAGCTATACCACGCCTACAGATGAAGCACCAGTCTAGCATTCATTATGGGGGTTACCACTACATATGAGTTGCCAAGGTCTTCGGTCTCCCGTTGCGGCATTAACATCTGACGTGAGTCTAGTTCAACGTGGGTGATCTTTTAGATATGAGAACAGCCTGGTTGGTGGAGCTCAGAATCTGAGTATTCAATCAATGCTTAGATCTATGAACATGGCCTATGCTCTTCTCATGTCTCTGCCCAAGTCCAACGCTTCGACCTTTGACGTAAGGTTTGCCGGTGTGTTACGTATCATCAATCTATCCTTGTATCAATGTAAATAGCCTTTTCGTGATAGTTTCACTTTGAAGTATACGTTGAAAATGAAGTTCTACGTGCTCCCTTTCCGAAAGGCACTTGAAAGCTCAAGCTATTTGAAGCGAGTTAGCACATCATCTTCTGAATGGCATAAACGTAACTTGACCCGCCAAGGTTGGTCTGGCGTTGCCACGAAGATCGACTTTTCGTGATGGTCTTCGCTGATAACCTTGTATTCATTGGAATCACAGGAGATCCATGCGCCGTCCGTGGCAGGATCCCGAGGCCGTCTGAAAACTACGAGTACGGTATTCTTCACAAGAAAACTTGATAGTATTTAAAGCCCACTACACGCGAGTCTGTACAGCCTAGCCAAATTCCCTACTTTACAATCGGCCCAGTGACAGCTCAAGATTCGAAGTAGCGCAGGCACCCGATCCTTCTCTAGCCTCACCGGTGGTGAGAATATAATGGAAGTTATATTAATTCAACCTTTCAACCTTAAACTGCCTCTTGTACATGATAGTTAGGTCGCCGCTCTTCCCTAGAATGTGTCGCTGTCTCGAAGGTTACGGTACTGAACTCTATGGCAACTCTATTGTTGTTTAACTGGACTCTTCATCCTCTTGGCAGGCGCCGCTGATTTCGAAAATGAAGTATCCAGCCAGCTCCGGCACCGGCATCTGCACCGGCATCGCTGCCGCCGGCCGATGCTTTGGTGGTAGGGGAGCCTGCCCTTGCCATGTTTGGCAAGCTGGCCACACGGTTTCTTCCAGAGGCATTAGCATTTTATGACTGCTGTTTGCCCGCAATGGCAAAGATTTTCTGAGATTGTAAAAGCGTGTACATGAATTCTGCTTGCGAGAAGATTGGAATGATGTGCGATCTTGTAGGCTTTTAGCTTTAAGCGTGCATTGCACTTGAGGTGGGCTGTGTAGGTGCCTGATTAAGGCAGCTTCGGCTAGGTCTACACTACATGTTGGTTGCATTGAAAAAGCTCTCCACTTCATGTACAATCTCCTGTCAGATACTAAAGACCATGAATAAGCTTACGTCGTTTCCTCGCCTCTTTCCCCTTCTCTACCCTGCTTGACTGCCCCCACTGTATTTGACTGTCCATCAGGGAGTATGTAAGTAAATACAGTACAGTTCTGGTCGGTCATGGCAGCTTGGCCATCTCTGTGCCGTTTCTGGTTTCGTCGCTGTCGCTGTCGCTGTGTGTTGGCGACCAATCAGGGTCTTGTCACTGTCAGGCACGGAAACGAGAATCACGGACAAACCTGTCAGATTGTGGAGACAGCTAGAGTGGCCGATTTCGTGGTCCTGCACGCAACGTGGATCAAGTGTGGAGACGACATTGCACCAATACTATACATAGCTGGTTCTGCTTCCGTACAATCATGAAAGAAATCAGAATGAGAATAATCCAAAAATGAGCGAAGGACGCCCATTGATCAAACACAACCATAGACGTCCGATCATTCTGGTTCTGGTTCAGGCCCCACCAGGACGCTTTTGAACGTCGGTGCAGTCCTGCCGAGTGTACAGGAATGGTGCGCGACCCCCCGAGGTTTCGTGTCATGACTGGACATGATTCAGGACCAGCCTGTTTCTAGCATGTCCAGGCAACCTGAGATGCCATTCCTTGGCCCCCTCTCTCCACAGCCTGGATGTCGATGTTCGTGCCTACAAGCCACGAAAGACGCATGTCGCTGCTGGCATGGCTGCTTCATTCAAAACTGTACCCACGTCTGGATGATACAGGAACATTTCAGGTTTGAGTCAAAGCAAAGACGATGCATAACGTAGCATACGGTCCATCTGAAACATCAAAAGGCGGCGTCTTGGATGTGCTGGAAGCACCTTCGATGAGATTGAATAAGGCCTTCAACCCAAGGATACGACTCTAAATGAGGGGCATTGTGGCGCTCTCAGAGAGAACTCACGAATGCGGATTTCCATTTGTATCAGAGGTTTGATTGCGTATGTTGATCTTGTCCATATTCATGCCTTGACTGATCCTCTCCCAGCTGGTCATACTCACCGTCTTGTTCAATATTTCAGCTCTTCTACTGATTTCTATTTATACTATGTACATATTCTCTGAATGTCGGTAGGCCCTTGTTGTGGAGTTTGTCGATGGTCGAACGTAGATACAGTAACTTTTTACTAAAAAGGCTTTCTAGATCTTGGCTTGGGAAGTGCTCTTCTGGGTCGGTAGGACTGGGGAATTCGAGAGAACCCTGTAACCACAAATGGCTCACATCCTGACATCTCACGAATGGAGCACTTTACTGGTACTTTACAGTACATTACACAATGGATTATACAGACTGAATCAAAGTCGGCTTCCTCTTTTTGTCTCTCTTCTCTTCTCTTTAAGCACGGACAGTCCACTTCTGGCTCTTACCCAGAAGTATACTTTTGAACCTCTGGAGTACCGCGATGGCTGAAGACGTCCTCTTTCTAGCTGTAAAGCCTACATGCAGCGCTCATCATCCACTTTTGATTATGCCGACTCATTATATGATATATGGAGCTTTGTGCGGGTGAAGACGTTGGTTTGGCGAAATGACACTGATATTGCTATCCTATGCACTATATGAGGTACAGACAAGATCAAACCCGGCTTCCTCCTTTTGTCTCTCTCTTTTCTTCTCTCAGCACAGACGACCCATTTCTGGCTCTGACCTGTACGTATACCCTAAGTACTCTTTTGGACCGTATCAGTTCTGATTCCAAGAGCGTGAGCTTTAACCAGGCTCTTTCGCACTTATTGATACGCAGACTACTACACATCAATTGTACGTCATCGAAGATAGATTTTGGGCACCGAATATGTGCGTTCAGGGCCGAAAAGGGCATATTCTCAAATTCCATTGTACGACAGAGGTTCAAAAGTGTACTTCCGAGTGGGAGCCAGAACTGGACTGTCCGTGATCAAAGAGAAGAGGATAGAGAGAAAGAGAGGAAGCCGATTTTGATTCTGTCTGTACAACTGGAAATCTCTCTTCCAATCCCATAGTTCACACGTACTTATCTATATTTGAACCACACAACGCTGGTGCTGGGGAACATATACCCTTGTTGTTCTAGACCCTTCTATCATGTCCTTCTTGCCGCTCGGCCCCACTACATCTTTGCAAGCCATGCAAAATTGCGTGATCGTCATTCCTACAAAAGCCATGTTTTCGCTTAGAAGTACATTCGAAACAAGTGACCTATTTTCTACGGTTAGAACTAAACCGATGGAAAGCTGACAACAACATTGACTGACACATCTGCATCTAACATATGCAAATACTAGATCAGCTTCGATTGGAGTGTGACAAAAGCTGCACTTGGGCATATCGTTTTCGTTGTTCTCCCTCGTGATGGCTTGAATATCGTGAAAGATTTGTGACGTTATATCGCGTAAATCTCTTCTGCATTGCCACAGAACTCGCTTCAAGCTTGGCAAGGCGTCATTTCCTTCGTCAGGAAGGCGTGTTAGAGTGGAGCTCAATCGTATGAGAAAGTAGTTGCGCACAGAGGCTGCTAGCGGCGCGACCCCAGTACCCGTCTCCATATTGAGATGCATGGAGTATATATTATGATGAAGACAACAAAAAGATTGCATCGTGGTAGTGGTTCATTCCACCGTATATATAGATACGCCTGTCGTAGCGAAGACTCAAAATGGGATGTATTGTACTGTTTGGATCACGGGCCACTGTCTGCTGGTTTCCAATATTGCTTACGGACGTTGCAAATTGCCATATGAGACTTGAGACTCAGGAACGACTCTTGTGGTAAGAAAACACTGTTCTGTAACAAGGTCAAGATCGCGCTCGTAATCTGTCTGGTAGCCATTTCTGCATCCATACTCAAGTGCAAAGTTGTGCCGACCAACACAGATGTGGCAGTCCAGTATTCCATCATGGTCGGTCCAAATTCTGCCTCGACTCATGTCGCTACGAACTTACTCTCAGTTTCATCATATCATACTGTATAAGATGCCGCTGCATTAGATCTGGGACAACAGAAGCACAAGACGCATATCTGCACCTTCCGCCCGCCGTGTCAACCTCGTGCCTCTTCGTCTGAAACCCTACTACTGCCTGCCTGTTGTTATTCATCAAGAAGGAATACTACAACTCCACTTTGTTTCTCTGGCGGTGAAGTGTCGAAAGTTAGAGAACAATCTTGCTTCACCAAATGAGGAGAAGGTAGCACTGACGAGGAAGGAGGAAGTGTCAGCGACGCAACCACCAGCACCCAAATATTATCCCTGTTAAATCGTGAAAGGGGAGCCATTGAGCTGGAATTCAGCCACAAAATCTTGCTCAAACACCGAGAGCATCGTCTCATCAGCCAAGAGCTAGCAAAATGCCAGATCGCATTGGAGCAGCTGCGTCGATGTCACCTCGTTCCATACCCGGCCCACGTCCCAATGCCAGAACAAGTGTTGAACGTCACTAATGGGCAAGAGCTGGCGCTCCTAGCCAATTTAGGCACTCAAGTACCACAGTGGACGCCGCCTTTTGATGTTTCAGATGGACCGTATGCTACGTTATGCATCGTCTCTGCTTTGACTCAAACATGAAATGTTCCTGTATCATCCAGACGTGGGTACAGTTTTGAATGAAGCAGCCATGCCAGCAGCGACATGCGTCTTTCGTGGCTTGTAGGCACATGCCGCGGGCACTGCAAAGACGTCTTTCTCAGGGAACTCGACCCCTGCCTGCAGTACATCTTCTTCGTAATTGGCGTCTCCCGGAACATGACTGTACATTGACGCCGTAGTCCCCTTCCTTTGCCCATTCCACGATCGCTTGTTAGGCACGATATTGCCCAGCGGCTTCCGTCCTGCCTTGACGACAGAACGCTCAAAGTCAATCAGCATGAGCTCCCCTGTGTCGGTATTGCGTAGCACATTGGTACGACGCACATCCCGATGCACCACGCACGCCCGATGTATCGCCCTCAGACAACGTTTGACCTCACCAGCACGAACCGCTTCGTCAATCGGACTGCCATGCGAGAGAAGCAACAGGTATTCGATGTAGACCCGATGGTCGTAGTAATAAATCCTGCCCATGTCGCGAAGATCTATCGCGCCCAGGCAGACCGGCACCTGAGACCCCTGAAGTCCTTCGAGGTGTTTGTAGATGGCTGTTTCGTGTTCTAGGTCCCGAATGAAAGCAGATACCGTGCCCTTGGCGACGAAAGTGTAGCCGTAGGCCATCAGACTAATTTTGAACAGCACGCCGCGAGATCCGCCTACATCTAGACGACTGATCCCGTGGTCAAGAGACTCCTGCAGCTGCTGAAATAGGAGCCGGAGGAACTCGTCACGGTCGATCAGATGATCAGCAGCTGCAAGGTTAGCCTGCCGGTGCAAGAGAACGTTGGGACACTTTGCGTCAAGCCGACCTCTTCTGACCAGTCCTAGAAGACATCGCTGTGTACAGTACTGTCGCTCTTGTGAAGCTTCCCCGCGCGGCGCTCGGCCCAGAATGCGCTGGCTGCGCCGTGGGCCTTGGCTCTGACTACTCGACCGCGGCTCAGACGGTGTCGGCGTGTCCGGCATCGGAGGCAAGGACTCATCCGACGAAGACTCGTCGTCCCGGTCTCTAAATCTTGGCTGCACATCTGGACGGTCCTCTTCCTGAGCCCAACGTTTCGGTCTTGTTCGAGGCACGCGCGGTGACCGGCTGATGCCTGCATAAGTCGTCGGCGCATACAGCGAGCCGGAGCATGAGCCGCTCGGAGCGTATCGCTCGTCTCGGGGAATAGATCGTAATGTCGTCTCAAAGTCCTCTGCCCATCGCCTCAGCCCCAAGATCACACGCTGCCGCTCATCCTGTGATCGAACATTGGGTGGGTTCCCTGGCGGGCCGAGAGCCATCAGGCTGAATGCCAGGTACTGGCCAACTGCGGTGCAAGCGTGGTGTTCCCCCGATTGCGCTGCCACCTCAAAAGCGGGCTCTGCTAGATGGTACAAGAGTGTGCCGGGTTCTCGCCAGTCTACTCGCAGGAATACAATGGTCTCGCCGGTAGTCAGCAACCCGTACTCGAGACCTCCCTCGATCATGTAGTTGTAGGTCTGTGTGATGGCCGCAGCGGTGAGCCTCTCGGCATGGTACTGGAATCGACCGTCGGGATCGGCCGCGGTAGGTATTGTTTTCCGATTGACCACGTCTTTGAAGATATTCATGGGATGCAGACCACTCCGGCAGGAAGAATACCCTTAAGACCGATGACCACTCCGGCAGGAAGAATACCCTGAAAATCCGATGTCCATACCGGCAGGATGCCCCTAAGACCGATGACCACTCCGGCAGGAGACCCGTCGAGCTTGCACGCTCAAAGGCCGAGGAGACCCTGTCATCCAGCTGGTCTGACTGACTTCCTCAGTCTCTCTCTGTCTTTTGTTCTTTCGGATCCCAGGAATGCGCGGCGACACGAGTGGGCGATTGTGAGGCGTGGCTCGTTATCGTTTTGCGCATTTCCCGGCCCGAGCCCGAACCCAAGCAGAGAGAGTACAGTCGAAATCGTCCTGACTTCTTGGAGACATGTTGTCTTCCGCTAGTGATGCGTGCAGGAACCTTGACGGGGGTCGCAGATGTCCACTCCTGTGGACCGGCCAGCGAAGGCGGCCTCTGCAACCTGTCCGTGGTGCTGGCTACGAACCTGTTTGTCCTGGCCGAGACTCTGTTTGGTAGTCTTGACAGGATGACAGAGCCAATGCAGAGACGCAGTAGATAGTCGAGTAGTGAATACAAGAGACGTGTCATTCAACACAGATTCCAAATACAGAGATTCCACTCCAGTACTTGCAGTACAGAGAATATGCACAGCGCCATGTTGCGTCCTCGCCACATAGGCTTGTGTAGTTTGTCTAGTTCGTCATTCTCACTTCGTAACGTCTCCGTGTCTGTGACCAGGACAAACTGATGTGTAATCTGCTACTGTATCAGTGAGTCCTGCCCAGGATCTTTGGATCCTGCCTGCGACTGAATGTATCGTCTTTCGGTACGGTATTGTTACTGTACAGACAGTATTGCAACGTTACGATATGAATGATGCAGTCGATCGAGGGACGCATTCGGTAGAGGAGCACATTCGTACCCGGCCTACAGCTTATGGACAGTTCCAGCTAAACATCGCAACCCCGGCTGTGGAGACAGGGGGCCCAGATTGGCATCTCAGGTTGCCTGGACATGCTAGAAACAGGCTGGTCCTGAATCATGTCCAGTCATGACACGAAACCTCGGCGGGTCGCCCACCATTTCTGTACACTCGGTTGGGAACGAGTCGTGTCTGCTTCTCGTCAGGCCGGAAATGGGCTGTCGCAATTTGTCGCGATCGTTTCGGGGGGCTGGACAGGCCTGGTTTTGAGTCGTGCTTCTCGTCGGTGGCCTCTTTCGGGCCGTCCCAATTTCGACAGGGAGTACAGAAGAGGCGCATCGGTCGGCTTGTTGTGGGGAAAATCGGCTACGCGACGCCCGCCCACTTTGACGCGACCAAATCGTGGTCAACGCTATAACTGGTTTAGGACAGCGCGACAAATCCATAGGCCTCCAAAGTGGTATGCAAATGCGCAAACAAAGCTTGAAGCAGTACTGCACCGATGTTCAAAAGCGTCCTGGTGGGGTCCAACCAGAACTAGAATCAGATTTGATCAATGGACGTCCTTCGCTCATTTTTGGATTGCTTTCATTCTGATTTCGTGGAAGCAGAACCAGCTAAGTATAGTATTGGTGCAATGTCTCCACACTTGATCCACATTGCTTGCAGGACCACGAAATCGGCCACTCTAGCTGTCTCCACAATCTGACAGGTTTGTCCGTGATTCTCGTTTCCGTGCCTGACAGTGACAAGACCCTGATTGGTCGCCAACACAACAGCGACAGCGACAGCGACAGCGACGAACCAGAAACGGCACAGAGATGGCCAAGCTGCCATGACCGACTACAACTGTACTGTATTTACTTACATACCCCTATGGACAGTCAGATACAGTGGGGGCAGTCAAGCAGGGTAGAGAAGGAGAAAGAGGCGAGGAAACGACACGAGACATGGGACACGGTGATCGTGAGCCCATACATCATTAGCGAAATGGCCAAGCCGAAACCAGCGGTTATTCAATTATCTATGTACGTGTATGCCATAATGGCTACTCGAAATCCACAAATTCTACAAGATGCGTCTCTGCATTGGCTCTGTTGACCCCCGACAAGAGAGACTCGAAAGAGCTCTTGCCAGGACAGCAGGCTCGTAGCCAGCACCACGGACAGGTTGCAGAGGCCGCCTTCGCTGGCCGGTACACAGGGTTGGGACATCTGTGACCCCCCGCAGGAAACCTAGGGAGATAGGACGTCTGCGGGGAAAAGAGGGAAGCAATCCATCATCTGTAGGCTCCCGGGGCACTTCCAGATGGCATCGTCTGTAGGCTCCGAGGCACTTTCAGACGGCATCGCTTGTGGGCCCGAAGGCACTTCACCAAACGGCTCTCACTTGCTAGTTACCCGAGGGCACCCGCAAGGAACTTCACCTGCTAGGCTCGCAGCACTTTTCCAGGTGGGGACCATCTGACAGGCTCGAGAGAACCTGCCAGATGACACATCCGGACTAGTCAAAGTCGCGGACGGCTTCGCTCGCAGGACCCGAAGATGCTGGCGAGGAACGTCACGTGTAGCCTCGAGGACTTGCACGTGGGGTCATCTGCAAGCTTCAGGAGAAACTTGCAAACGGCACAAACCGCCGGCGCGAAGCAACAGCAGAAGGCTTCACTCGCAGGACCCGAAGACGCTGGCGAGGAACAGCACGTGTAGTCTCCAAGACTTCCACGTGGGGTCATCCGTAGGCTCCAAGAACCTGCAGACGGCACAAGCTGCCATCGCGAAGCGACGACAGAAGGCTTTCACCCGCCAGATCCGAAGATACTGGCGAGGAACATCACGTGTAGTCTCCAGGACTTCCACGTGGGGTTGTCTGTCGGCTCGAAGAGCGTCAAGACGTTACATCTGCCGCCACGAAGGACTGACAGACGGAACACCCGAAGGTGATGAAGAAGGAAGAAAAGAAATGGAACTCGACGAGAAGATGGACAGGCTTATATATTGGTTTATTGTGGGTCGTCTCGTCGTCGCCCCATATTTTCCTTGTGCCGTTGGTGGCTGGACTTGGACTTGGACTGCGTTTGTCCTTCTGTCTGGCGTGGTCGGGGAAAGTCTCCTTGACAGGTGGGCATGTTTTGATACTGTACTCAGACATTGATCCGATATTGGCTGCCCTGTCGGCCTGAACCGTTACAGCAGGAAGCGGATCCTCTTGCCCTTGTTCGTCCTGTCAAGCCATGTGCCGCCAATGGGCCCGACATCAATCGATCCATGTGGGGTCGGTCTGGGATACCAGAAATGTATTTCATGAATAGTGGATCCTTACGTGCAGTACAGTACTGTACAGGTATGGAATTCATTTTCGGCTTCCCTGCTTGCAGCACGCCATGTTCCCAAATGCGTACTGTGCTTAGCCACTTGCCAATCAGTTCCGAACTCACATAATCATCACTTCTAGGCTTGTCTGTCCGACCGGTTTAGTGATCGATCTAGCCCCATGAGCTAGACTGGATCTCTGCGAGACTTGATCCCACGGCCGCCATGACGAGGCCATCCACATGCTTTCACCACTCTCTTTCGATACAATGATTTCTCTCTTTGCCTCGGTTGCGCCTTTGCTCCAGCTGTCTACTTTCATCGTCTGATTGCTCCCAACATCTGAGATCCAGTTATTCGACCGCCTATATTCTCCCTACTCCTCTCTTCCTATCTCATATTGTACACTGGGGACATCTGTATTTCAGCAAAGACCTCACGACACTGCTACATTCCGAGTCACTCGTAGTGGCAACCCCGCTGTCCCCTTCTCCCTGATTTTATCTTGCTTGCCCTACAACTAGATCCCCATGGACTGGTCTTCTCCTCACCGGCGGTCGCGAAGATTGGCGATACGCAATGCTTCAAGAGCAGCCGTGGGGAAGACTCAACCATACACTGCTGCTCAAGTCAACAGACCCGCGAACTCTCAAGGCACTCCTGCCAATCGCCAACCCCGTCGACGGAGGCGCGACAAACGTGCTCAATCGCCGATCACTGCAAGACTCATCATCAAAACAGAGCCGAGCGATCGACCTGAAGATCGAGCTGTAAACAGAACGGACAATTTGGTTTCCCAACAAGACAATACTCAGCAAGCGGGTGACCGTCACTCTAATATGTCGTCAATACGACCAACAGTACCCATGCTGAACGGCAACGTATCAAAGGTTCCAGTGCCCTCGTTGCACTCAAGCTCAGTCTCAACAGCTAGGCCGTCTGCTGCGCTGTCACACTCGCGTGTCCCGTCTATGGCTTCTTGGACCAGACACGGTCCGATCATCAACTCCAGAATTTCCGAACTAAGGAGACAAGACCTGGCAAGAGCTCAAGCATCGCCGACCACAAGTTTACGTCAGTCGTCCTTGCGACCTATGACGAGGCCCTCTTTGCCTTCTGCAACACCACGGCCAATCTCAGCAATACCACAGACATCTCCAACTGCACCCCCGACATTCCCGACAATACAACGTCGGTACGAACCTTCTTCTACACCCGTCAGTCTAGAAACGCCCCACGGTCGTGTGAGAATCCATTATCCTATGATCATGACCGACCAGATCTTCCGGAACACGCGTATGTGGATGGACGTCTACCCTGACTGCGGATACAACTTCCAAGTAGAAGCCTTTGTCGACCGAGCTGGTCATGCTCCCGCGTTCATAGATTGCGGAACTTTCTTGACACTCGAACAGGCCAACCGTACTGTCCTCCAAACCTTCTCGGAAGACATCCGCGAACTCATGGTGGACCGATACACGAGTATGGTTTTCCGAGAAACAGATGAGGTGCCTAGCAGTCCCTACTGGACAGGGTTCTGCTTGGGATTGCACCACCCGATTTTGCGAATATGGGCAAAGCAGGTTGATTCGTGGAGCTTTCGTGTCGAGACCAAGATGGTAGCCAAGTCGGTAGCGCCATGATATGTACAATAGCACAACCTCGAGTAACATGTAAATTTGCATTCCTTTCTTCTTCTAATAATAATATAGTATCCCTACTCAAGTACGAAATCGGAAGGCTCCATGCCAACAAGTGTAGGATCATAAAAGTCCTGCTGGCCACTCTTCGCGTCCCGTTCAATGACCGCTTGCAACTTCGATACCCATTCCTGCAGCTTTTGGTCGAAGCGCTTTAAGCTTGAACACTGTCAATTTGGCGAATTGAGTAGGACTTGGGGAGGCCTACCCAGTATCCACCGTCTGAGTGCTGAAGTTATCCGCAATTAAAAGCAAGAAGCGATGGCTAGAGTGATGATGACCTACAGCATGCTGATTCTGTAGCATAATGAGCCTAAGAACTTCTGCAACCACGTCGCTACACTTACTCATGTTTTAGTTCGCCTGCTTGTTGCTCGAACCTTTTCATGCTCGCTTCAAGTTGACGGACTGTTGTATCTTCAGAGGTGGAAGCCGGCAAAGTGGCCGTCTGTGTTGGGTGATCGGCATCCAGCGGTATATTCTCGGAGTGACGCTGCTGTGAAGAAGAGCCATAGAGAGGGATAGTTGGCATTCTTCGCCACCGGTGTCCTCTTCTCCTGGTACTCGTGATTTCGTGAGAAGGAGACATGTTATAGGCAGACAGGAAAGTCACTGGGAAACTAGACGAAAGCGTCTGAAACATGTACGAAGAGGTCCCTTCCATCTTTAGTACTAAAATGTGGTATAATCCACAACTGACTCCTCTTGCTAGCTTGCAGCTTCCAACAGTGCAGCCCCCATTGTGAACATGCAATACAATCCTGACAGTCAAGCGTACTGTACAGTATTGGCCTGTCCCTAGCGGTGCCGGTAACCTATCATGGGCCACAAATGGGTGTTGGAGCATGTAGAGATGACGGCAAACTGCCTTCCAGTCTTAGAGTTGTCACTTCTGGACAATCACAGTACCGCAGTCTGTCATGGGCATAAAACAGATCCACTGACGAGCTTACAGTATGAGAACCTATTTTTGAGTGCTATAATTCCAGCTAGGACAGTCCACTCTTGGATCATTGTGATAGCGAACAATGGTCCAGAAACAGTTGTTACTGTATATTCGATACAGGTTATAAGGATGTTCTGAACCGTGGGTCTCTGCGTCTTAGTACCAGATTGCTGTGTCTTGAAATTTGGACACAGGAAAACAGTTTCAGTCACGTCGGTCACCCATTTCCCGACTCTAGTAGACATTGAGATACGCAATCTTGGAGGCACCACCACGGCCTTCGACACATCTTTAGACTACATCAAGTCGGCAAAATCGCCGATCAGTCCGGAGCAGCGCTTGTTGAAACTCACGCGAGAGAATGGATGATTACGGCAAGAGGTAGCCTACTTCAGAGGCTTGATCCACCAAGTGTTGCCGCTGCTCTCTGTATTACGATATTACATCGGTGGGCTGGGGGAAACAATACAGAAATGTAAAAGTCATATCAACGAGGCCAACGCACTTTGGGAGAAAGCGAGGATCATCTGAGCTGTCAATATGATAGGCTACGTATGCCGATAAGCGTGGGGTCGAGGTGTACGGGTTAGCCACGGTCTGGTTGGATTGATGTGTTACTGGGCGGCTCATTTCCCTAATACAATCTGTCCCGTGCCTTACTTTCGTGTTTCAGACCTGTTCAAGCTGGACACGACGATTCCCGTGGTCCCAAGAACCCATCGTCGGCAACTTTCCTCTTCACCCCAGCTTCCGATCGTCTCTCCTTTTCGGCTACATCCGCTGCGTCTCCCAGATCTTGATGAGGGTTTGTTGTGTTTGAACTACTTGCGCCTGAAGTTGACTTGAATTTCTCTCGTGGGACAGCGCAGCCGATAGTTGTTTGACTTGCCTTTGCAAGCGGTCATTCTCTTGGACTACGGCCCTGGCGAATGTTCCGACATGTCTAATGTAGCGCAGATACTCTCCTATGAAAG